TCCAGTCCAGGAACTAGGCTTCAGGGTTACTTGAATGGTGTTTGGTTTCCTTTGGTCACTGGGAATAGTTTTTGGTTTCTTTTAAGCAGCTTATTTATAACTGTGTTTATTTTGTAGATATTTGATAAGAGTTCTCCAAGGAACACTGTTTCCCTCTCCGGTGTTGAGAGCCAAGTGCCTTGTGAGACTGTCCCCCGAGGAGCAGAGGAAAGCAATTAAGAGATGGAAATATGAGTGCAATGTGAATGATAAAGTGGAGCTCCAACCTACTTCTGCTCCTTACAGCTCAGCTGCAGGTGCTGTATCAGAGGAAGAAAGCACTGACAGTGTTTTGCCAGCATCTAAAACACCTTTTCAGACCTGCTCAAGAGATGGGTTAGTAAAGAACACCTCCTTCTTACCAGACATCCAGGATGAGTCTGGGAGAACAAGTGTCTTGAACTCTGAAAAGACTGAATTTATCAAAGAAAACTAATACAGTTACATTTGGTGGTAATAGTTCATGTCCCAAAGTCTTTGTGTGTACTTCTGAAAAGGGCAGCAGTGCTGTCTCTGTAGCACACAAAGCAGTTTTGAGTTCTGTTTTGTGTGAAGAAGATGTTTTACTGTATTTTACAAAGTTGGAATGCTAGCTGGTTAAACACAGAAGTAATAACTGCTGATTTTTGCCATGCTGTGGTTTTGTTTTCTTCAGCCTAGGCAGATGATGAACACATTTCCTTAAAAGCCTTTTTGTTTATAAGACTTAGCCATAATTTATTAAGATGTTCAAGGTCTAAATGTGTGTATTATTTTTTATATTTCTTCACACAGTAGACTTTGCATACTGCTTATTTTTTGTATTCAACATTGCATAACATCTCGTGGTGTTATGGACACATTGCATGAATGTGGATTTGCAGAATCCAGTTCAGCTAAGTCAGCCTGCTCCCTTTCACTGCTGCCCTAGAACCCTAGCATGCCCTGAGATTCACCACTTGCTGAAGTAAGCAGCATGGTTGGGATGTGGTGTTACTGGCTGGCTTCTTTCAGGAATTTTTATTACTTGTAGTGTGTGTAGACAGTAATTTATGTAACCACTGTGGTCCAGTTTGTTCACCAGGCTGTTGCACGGGCCATCTCATTGATGGACAAACACCATTTTAACCATAAGAGAGAAGCCCAAATGAGACACATGTAATGTGTCTCCCTCGCCTTCCTCCTCACATAAAGAGCAAATCCTAAGTGCAGCCTTTTGTTTTCCATGACAGTTCATCCTCCTGCTGTATCACTCCATTTTGACTCCATGTGCCATTTCATGTTCTCTGCCACCAAATGGACTTCTTTCCCACCTCACTCAATTCAGATGTTGGCTGGCTGTCTTTTCTCTAAACTACCTCATGCCTGTACTGAAAAATTGTCTGCCAGCAGCAGTGAGGAGCTCCAGTCTGTCTTCAGGTCTTCCCTTTCAAATAGCAGCTTCTAGCTGATAACATCACTCTTCTTCACTCTCAGGTGTTTTTACATTCCTCCAGGCTTTTATAATAATCAGCTTAAGTGTCTCTAAAGGCTGCTCAGAAGAAGGACTAATGCATAGCATGTCTCACATTTGAGTGCTGTTGCTCATCTGTCTCCAAGATAGATGAGTCCTGTCCACTGCCAGTTTCCCACTGCTCACACACTGCACAAAAAGTGGCTGAGGTGCATGTGGAAACTTCTAGATTCCAGACTCTCTAAAATATTGCCTCCTTTTTACTTCACTTCCCAAATGTTACATGGACAATTTAGAGAAGAATTTAGGAAATCTGTTTGTGTTCACTAGCACCTATTGAAATAAACAGTTTCCTCAAACTGTAGCTGCTAATGAATTATTAGTGCTGAGCCCATTTTTTGGTTTTGTTACTTTGTAAAAGTTTTTGCTTTCAAATTGCCAAGATCTGTGTGTTTTTAGGCACCATGTTTCAGGCAAGGGCTGTGCTTTTTAATTGAACCATGAGCTTTCCACGGCAATGATCAACATTACATATTCCTCATCTTTTAAGATGCTGTGAGGTCTGGACAAAACAAATGCTGTGAGGTCTGGACAGCTGCTCCTACACAGGGTAGATATTGAGGGCATGCTGAGTTCATTCAAATGCTGGTCACCACATGTTACCAAATGCTTAAAGCAGTTCTGTGTTCAAAAGGTAGAATGTAATTAGGGCTGACTCTAACCATAGTGTTAGTGACAAGAAAAAGAGAAAATACACTTTTTGTTCAGCCTGTAGAAGAAAAGTAGTAGAAGGAGAAAGTGATCACAGCCATTTCTGAATTTCTTTTTTTTTAAATTTGGCTCCAACATATGACAAAATGTTTTTGGTAAGTTCTAACATAAAGTTAGTGGAGACCTTTGAAGTGATGGCAGACATTCAAATTCCAAGAGATCATGTTGATCTGAGTTACTTTTTCAGATGTTTGTCTCGAACATCGTTCTTGCTGTGTGAAGGCACCTTGCCATGAGCATACTCCAGATTTCCCAAGTGAAACATCTCAGCTTTCTAGACAAGAAATGGGCACTGCAAGGTTGCAAAACAGTCAGCAGGTTGTGCAGGGGGACAAGATGGTACCAAGGCAGAATCATATAGAAACAGAGTTACTGGGATGGAGTGAAATCATCTATATTGCTCTACAGCCTCAAGGCAGGCTGAGCTCTACCCTTGTCCTTCCCTAGTGGATGTTATCCTGCTGTAAAGAGCTCCAGAGAAATTTCCTGCCCTCAAAGTAAAATGTTGTTTTTGTTTTCATTACCTGACCTGAATATTTTTTCTGCACTTTAAATCCACGGCCTCTCTGTACTTGTGGCCACTGAGAGGAGATTGGTCCATGGACTTGGTCCACAAGTCTCTAACTCTATGCCTCAGTTACGCTGAACTTCCATGGAGGAGCTCCAGCACTTCCAGTGACCTGAGGGAGTGTAGGCCTCAGCTGTGTTCCTGCCTGTTACTGTGAAAAAGTTTGGGGACAACACCAGCCTGTGACCTGCCCTCTTTTTGCCTCTGCTTCAGAAGCAGAACCTACCAGCAGATTTGACAGGTAGATGATCATTTAGTTTGCATTTTATTTCATACAAAAGCCGTAAGTATTCAGAGTAAGATCTTCTAAAACCTTATGATTAAGCCATGGCATCAAAATAACTGCATGAGGAAGCATGGGTGAGAGTCATCTGTTGGATCCAAGATCAGCTGCATGATGCCTCTGGGACATTTAAATTGCTATTATGTGATTCTTTACAAGCCTCATCACTCCATTACTCACAAATTAGCGTGGTGAGGCTTTCAGGACACTGTTCCTCTCTGCTGAGATTGTAAGTGCTTTTGTGCCACTTGAAGTGGTGCAAAATAACACGTGTGTGTGTACGTGTGTATTGCATATTGGTACTACCTATTGCTTAAAATTGTCCTATACATGTTGTGTTTTATTAGAGGATTTCAACAAGTAGTCTGGGTGATAGTCTAAATTATCTGTTGGGTGAAGCTTGCTTTGGGGTTTGGTTGTTTTGTTTTTTTATTTGACTGTTAGTTTTTTTAGTATTGTGGTTTTGGGGTTGGATTTGTTTATTTTTTGTGGTGGACAAATAGCAGAAATACCTGAGGGCATTTGCTGTGAGTGCTTGCTGTCTTTTACTGAAGGGGAGATGAGGGTAGTGAGTCTTTAATAAAAGCTTCAAAAAGTTAATTGGCCATAACTAAAGTAGTGCCAAATGAAGGGTGGTAACAAATTGCACTCCCTGTGCTTCTCACAGTTCAATGTTCCCTTTATTTTGTTTTTTAGCACTGAAAACGTCGCAATCACCTGCTTGCTTCTGCACTCCTGCACTTAGGCACAGCATGATCTGACACTTCCATTTTGAAATAACCTTTTAAGAGCATCTCACAGGTGCCTTCCACGTGTCATGAAATGAAGCACAGCATTTACACTTCTTTAATTTTAAAACAAAGCAAAATAACCACCTTCAACAGCCCCAAAGTTTGTAGCTACCTCCAGAACAGCCTTAACTCGATTTTGATGTGCAATATTTGATTTACAAAAGAAAGTACATGTTTTAATTTTTTTTTTCTTTCACAGCAACCACACCTGGGCTAAACATTTGCAGGCAGCAGTCAGCCACAGCCTTTGCTAAGTATTTTGGCAGCACAGTGAGCTTTGGTCTGTACCTGGAGCACAGTTTGAGCTGATGTTTAGCCTGAGCTGTTTTTTCCACAGCCCCACTGGCCGAAGCACAAGGCTGAGGACTAGCTGAGGACCAGTTAACACAGAGAACCCACTGCTCCCACCAGCCCTGGCTCTTGGCCGAGGCTAATGGGCAACTTCTGGATGTGACTGTCTTAACAGTGTTCCCATAGTTGAATTTCAGTGTGAGTTTTTTATTATTTGTTCCTGTTTTACTCTGGTTATATTACTCTTGCCCTCATGGTCCTGGCTTCCTTATTGCAGCAGAAAGGTAAATTTTAACTGTTTTAAGCTTCTGTCTGCTTAGTATTTTGATTTCAGCATGTGTACATGTTGAAATTTTGTGTGCAAGGTAAAAAGAGATTTGTTATTTAATTGCATTCCAGAGCGAAAGTATAGAACAAAATATGTTCAGATTGCAGATTTGATTGCAGCTTTAGTCTTTCAGATTTCCAAGTCCAGAGTAGTTGCTGGCAGCAGTATTCATGGTAATGTTCTGTAGTGGAAGTATACACACAGAAGAAACTATAAGTTGTACAGTGGTAGTAGTGTCAGAATCTCCGCAAGTATTGCAGTTCTAACAGGGCTGCTAAAAAAAGTAGCTAAGGATTTAAAAATGTCTCTTGAAGGCTGTTTTTAGGCATTATTGCTAAAGTTATAACTTAATACCTCCATATTATCGTTTAGTCTCTCTAAAGATTAAAACACATTTTCAGAGACAGAGAACATTTTTCAGAGACAACAGAGAAGTTATTTTGAAAACGATTGTAAATTTTTATTAGTACAACTAGAAAGAAACACGTTGGCTTGACTGAGTGGCATTGCTTACATTTGGAGATACAGCTGTGGTAGAAGCAAAACCAACAAATGTTACCTTACAGTGACACTACACCTGTGAGACAAACAGCATAACTGTGATCATAGCCATTATATCAGCACACAGGAAAAAGCTTGATACAGTGGAAGGAGGAACATGTTTGCCTATTTCCTGTGCATACATAAAAAAACAGTATAAAAATACATTTATAAAATTACAAATTTCCTCTTTACATGGAATGTTGTGTCAGACACAGTTGTGGGAAAGGGTAAGACCCAAGTGCTCCCTCCTAAAGCCATCTGGGATGGGGTTCAGCCTGGAATTTCTTCGGACTTATGTCATATAGGATGGGGCTGGACCTTATGTTTAAGAAACACTCTTCCTCATTTCCTGGGAGGGACTGCTTGGAAGCTGGTGGTAGGCCAAATGCCTAATTAAATTAATTAGTTAATTAAAATGTGTAGTTAGATGTTATCATTTGGTAATGCTAATATCTACATGAATGATTTTACGTGCTTTGGTGCTTTACAAAATTCAAAGCTGCTAACCACAGTATCTAGTGGAGACAAGCCAGGCTGGGTTATTCATTCTGCAGCAGCACCTCTTCGGAAAACAGACCTGGCCAGAACCTGTCTGACACCAGCCAGCTGGCTTAACAACTGCTGGACCACCTCCTCAGGGTGCTCTTGATAACCAGCTCTAGTACTCTGAGCTTTTCTGCCCTACAGCTGCAGAGATCCCAGCCCCAGAGGAAAGCTGGGAGTGAGAGGCTGAGGACTGAGAGCTCCAGCCTCCATATCCTTAAGGCAAGGGCATCAATAACCTGCTTCAGCTGTAATCTACTTGGACTAGATAAACACTGGTAGAGCTGCTTTCTCTCATTTATAGCTGGGGGAAGAGTATTTAAGTGTCATACCCTTAAGATACTAAAAGTAAAAAAAAAACCAACAATCAAACCTAGCAAAGCCTCAAAGAGCTTTTTTCTGAGCATGAAACAGTGATTCAATAATCACTTAAATAGTTTCAGAATCTGTAACGTACATATTGAATATTTATTAATATTCATGTCTACAGTGCAGTCTAGTGTGACTAATGTTCTAATGTTAGCGATACTTAAGGAGAAGATACAGAGATAAGAGATAAACCTTCATGAAAGCAATAGGTCTATGTAGATGAGTTGCAACATGATTAGTAGTACCTGAAATGTCCATGTGTTAGGTCTTTTAATGCACGTTTCCACATGTGGCAGTCATGCTATTGACATGGCCCTGCCATGCTGTCATGGGGCCATGCCAGAGGTAGCAGAGAGGGTTATGATGCATTCACAGGAGCCTATGCACAGCATTGAAAACACAAATTTTAAATGCATTGTTCCCAGTGGAATTTTTCCTGTAATCCTCAGATTCCTGACTCGTCCTGTTCTGGCCTCCTAAAAGCTGATAGCTATGTAGGACATCATCTACAACAGTTCATAGGACACACTTTCCCTCTAGCCACCATAAAAAGATGCCAAGCTCCTGTTTTTTATCATAATCTTTTCCAACCAGATTCTCTTGGACTTAAGGCATATTGTCTTACTACTGCACAAAGCACTCCACATCTGGCTACCACGCACCTGAGCTGAGCTCCTTCAGCCTTTGCTGGTGAAGCTGTTGTACTTTGCTTCTTCCGTTTCTAAAACTCATTTGAACAGAAGCTGGAATCCCAAGCCTTCTATCACTCATTTTCTTTCTGCTTTTTTTCTTTTTCCCATTTTATCTTGCTAGTCAAAATTAAACTTTAAATGCAAGGTACAAGAAGAGACCTATAACAATTAACCAGTTCCCCGATATTTGAGACAGTGCCCACTCTGCATCTTTTTCATTTTAAATCTGCATTTTCTGTCTCTCACAAGCTGTCCAAACTAGCTGACTCTAGGAGGGGAAATCATTGCAGTGGTATAGCCAACCCTCTTACATTTTCAGAGGGCTGGAGATGGTCAGTGCATCAGTATGCTGAACACATTATACGAAGCGGGGAGGAAAGCCACTGGGGCGCAGGTTTGATAAATGCATCAGGGCATTGGAAGTTTCAGAAGGTTAAGTGCTAGAGGCTGTCCAAAGAGTGAACAGTAAAAGCTTTGGTCTCCAGTGCCTCCACTGGTTGGTTGGGTCTTTTGACCTACTGGTTCTGGCTCTGGGAACAGAAGCCGTGGAATCAGGACAGTACAGGGTTATGCCCATTCAAATTAACCAGTCTGAGGGACAAAAGGCATTAGCTCAGGCATGACAGGAGCATATGGTAACACCTTTGGAGACCTGCACATGTGCTTTGATGTGTCCTGTGCCACATGGATGTACAAACCCACACCCTCCAGCATGTGGTATGGCCCTGTCAAGAGTTGTCCTTTTGAATGTATGTCCTGTAGTGTCATATGAATGCACAAAGTTTCCTTCCTCATTGGAAGGAGTGAAAATGCATGTGCTACTAATTTAATTGTATTAAAATAGGTTATTTTAAAAAGTTTTTCTAGTCTGTGCTACTGCTTAGTTTTAATAGCTGAAAGGCAGAAGGTGGTTGATTCTTTTCTTTTAAGCTTTTTGCAGTGTTTGGAATAGCACCACAACACAGTTAAAAGAAAAGTCAAAAGGATTATTAATTCTACCAAAGTATATTCATGAGAAGAGGATTTACCAGTAACATACACTGCATATTCCATAGCTCCACACCATGAATAGATAGAGCTTGAAACTGCTTTTCACAGAGTTTCTGGACTGCAAAACCTTCAGCGTTGAAGGGCGTATTCCTTTTTTCTTTAGTCTGTCAGCACAATTCTTACCATCTGGAGTTAGTTTAGCAGAAAGGTGTGGATGTATATTTGTCTTTCAATCCACTCAATAAAATGTGACACGTTACTGTAAACTCCAGGTCCCAAAACCTTGGAAAAGCAGACTGAGCCCCAAGATGTTAAACCAAACAAGGTCCAGCGCCCTGCAGTATGCTCACACACAAGTGGTCCTCCACTGTCACCCTGCAACAGGAAAGTTAAAAACATCTATTATCTACGTGGTCAGCACTCATGGTTAAAGCTGTATCACAGTTCCTACATTATTTGCCTTTAGCAAATAACTCAGCTGTAAAAATCAGCTGCTCTGCTGAACTGTGTAGCCACACACGGCATTACCAGTATTTATTACCCATTACATTTGTACAAAAAACTACCTGCCAAAGGCTCATGCAGTTAAAAAATTTAACTAATACAGATAAACCCTACAGTCTTCAAGCAGTAGTTCATTATTGTGAAGATAAGTTTTTTACACCAATATTAGCAATAATAGTAACAATAAAAGAATAAATAGTAAATTAACAATAATAGTAATAATAAAAGTTGGGTTAAAGTATGTAGACAGTTGTCATGTCTAGAACAGGTAAAGTATGCTACACCTAATTAACATCATATTTGATTTTTAATCGCAGGTTTTTTTGCTGACACTTTATCCTTACAGAGACTCCTACCATGCAAGAGTCCACGGTGCCAGATTCATAGCCAGCACACAGCATCCTGCTGGTGATGATTTTCATGTCAAAATATGACTGGCATTGTTCTAAGGAAATTATGCGAACCTCTCCTTCTTGAAGCTTGAAGGGCACTGAAAAACAGAATTGAGTGTTTACTATACACAAATTCACAATTACCTATTATGACTCCATCAGGTATGACAAACATTTCCACTGGTGTACATTATAAATACTGCGCTCTGTATATGTATTAAATGTAAGGAGCACTGTGTGTTGCATTCTGGAGAAGGACTAAGCACATGGGGACTGCTGTGACATTTGCTGTTTATTGAACATTTGCACCTTGACGTGCTGCAGTTTGTGGCTTCTAAGATGGGGGCAGTAGTGGCAGGAAAATAGTAATGTGAGAGAGGTGGACAACAGGCTTGATTCATTGTTCCAGGGCAGGACCTCCCTGTTTCTTGGTGTCTGTCATGGTAAAACTTCATAATAATCACAGACATTTTGGTTATGTTTGAGTAAATTTGACTTACAGAATGTACCAGGAAATCAGAATTTGAACTTAATGATACTACTGTAATATGTTTGAGAGACAGTAGAAGACTTCTTCCTAGTCTAAGCAACTGACTGAACTCAAATTCTAATCAAAGTTGTTCAACCTAGGGTATGCAGCATTAAATGCTACGTAGCCATGGTGGTTTTTGATGCTTCCTAGCATAAAACCTTTAAAATCAACACTGAACACATTAGAGAACAAAACATTTTCTGTTTACCAGTGCTGCAAAAAAATTCTGTTGGAGTTTTTTTCCTGACATCATATAGAGATATTTTTAGATGGGTAGAGATGCTAGTAAACAGCTTACCATTCATGTGTTCAATTTAATTATTATAATAATAGCAAAAGGAGAAACACAACTAGTGCACTACAGTTGTTGGGGCCAGGCTAATTTCTATACTATTCATGCAGAATCATTTTGCCTGTACGAAGATTTACATAACACAACAGTTCTTGTCAACGATTGTGGCATTCCCAAAACAAGAAAATACACTAATGTTCTGTTGAGAGATACAAAAACAACACTTGTAATTATGGAATAAATCATGTCACAAGTACAAAATTAATTTTAACCCTGGTTCCTCCAGTCTGTATGCCAGTGTTTCTAGTGCCTCCAGCTTTCACTGAGCTACAAGTGTTTCCCCAGCACTGATGATGTGATACCTTTGCAATACCATTCTGAATGCAACTTAGATAAGTAAATCATAACTGATGTGGGGGACTTTCTTGATAGAAGTTTCCAGATTCTTAACATTTTTAAAAATCAAGCCAGTGTCTAAGTAAGTATTGAGGAGCATAAATTGAGGCTGCTGCGTGAAAAAGCTAGGCTATAGTCACAGCTTGATCCCTTCAAGAGTAGTTACACTAGTATTTACTAAGATCCAGTAATAGTATCAATGGATAAAAGTTTGTAACTGTATCACTTATTTGATTCATTCAGCAAAAGCCTCACATGTTTTCCAAAAGTCACAGAAATATTCATCTTACTTTTGTTGCCCATATGTCCCCAGCCTGTGATGTAGCAGTAGGTGTCTGGCTGAACCAACTGGTCTTTGCTGGGCAGGCAGACAGGTCTCACATAGCTTGTCTCGTTGATATCCTCATCTAGTTCCACAATGCTGATATCATAGTCTACAACTGCTCTGTTGTAGCGTGGGTGGAGGATGATGGTCCTCACCAGTCGGGTCTGCATGAAACTTGATGGATGATCAAGATTGCTAATCCCAAGCACTACTTTCCAAACAGCTGCATTTTCTCTCCTTTGTAAAAAAGGAAAAAAAAAAAAAAAAGGTGAAATTTCATTCAAGGTCTTTCTTTTAAGCTAAATTATGCAAGATATTTTTTCTCCCTTTTTGCACACTGCACTTAGCAAAGCATACAAATACTACAAGAAGAAAACAAATATTTATGCATTATTCATTACGGCAAACATCCAAGCAACCGAAGTCAATGTTTTCCATTTCCCTCCTGCTTGTAATCAAACACACTAAAGCTCACTCCATCACAAGATATGTAACCATGTATTAGTTGCTGTATTAAAGGCTGTCAGAGTCATCCCTTGGATCCTTCCCAGCATTAGCTGCTCACATGCTCAGTGGTGGGCACATACAAATTTTGCTGGGGTAAGAATGTTGTTCAGTAGTCTGCTGCTGACAGCAGTAAAGTCTCTCTGAAATCTCTAAGTAGTCTCATAGAAGCAAGTCTATTGTGTAAATTAAATATTTTATGATAGCCATGGGAAAAGTCCCTTATTTATTCAGCATTCTGTCTGTGCCAAGTATACTTTCTATGCCTAAGATCAAAGGTTACTTTGATTCTTAATTTTTTTTGAGACTCTTAGTAAACATAGAAGACTACAAAGCAATGATACATATGATACAGGGGGAACACTGAACTATTGCCTGTTGAGACACATCAGAAAAGCCTAGATTTTATGAAAGGCTTCTAGGCTGTAATCTCTTGATCTTAACTGGTCACAGGATATGCTGTGGGTACCTCATGGTTTCTAATTAGTCTGTGATGCTAAAAGCTCTCCAAAACAGTCACAATTCTTCACAACTGCTGAGACACAACTCCATGTAACTAAGCACCTTTGACAGGACTGAAGCTTATTCAAAGCAGTATGAGTAAAAGCATGCAAAATTTCAGCTCTTTCATAGTGCTCAACAGGATTGTAATTCTTGTAATTTGTAAAAAGATTCGGTTGCTAAATCAAGACTACATTTATCTTAAGACTTGGATGAAAATTCTGGCTTTTCAGAATATAATGATCATTTTAGCATCATGATCAATGCATGAGCTGTTCCATAAAGCTACAGAAATTAAGTGCTGAGAATATTAATACACTGTTGTGCTTATGACCATTGTAAAATAGCATTGCCTAGAGAAATAAGCAGTCAGCCAGAATGCATTGACCTACATGTAAAAAAAAAAAAAATCTTTAAAGGTTTTGGATGCTTTAATGTAATGTATTTCCAAATTATCTTGACAAAACTTTGGGGACTATAATAAGAAAACTCACAAACAACACGATGTTTAATGCAGCTCTTTCTAATTTTTTTTAAATTTCTAATCTAGCTCTCTACAAGTATCCATGGCTATTCATGTTATTTTTATATGGTCCTCATGCTTTGGATTCCAAACTTCACATGAGTTTCACAAAATGGAGCATTTTGTATAAAGGACCAGAGCACTTCAAAATATCTTTATATTGTTGTCTTATCTGGTTGGTTTGGGAAATTTTTTTAATACTTTATATAAAAAAAATAATTGTGACATCAAGAATGGTCTTGCAGATGATATATTAAGCTTACAAAAATAAGTTCTTCTTACAAATGAAGAATTTCAAGATTTCAGGCTTCTGGGTACAACCCCCCAATCTATTCAGAAAGGCTGAAGAGAAAAAAGTTCATATAACTTCTCAATCCATTATTAGACCAGAATATCTTAGTACTTTAAGGTCTCTAGAATATAATGTGAAAGAAACTTTTAACAAGTTATACTCTGAGCTCACAAGGATATTATGCAGCTCTACATGAGGGGTAAATTAACAGCTCCAAAATGCAGTGGCACTTTTTCTGCATTTGACAAAACTGGGAGAATTTTTACTTTATAATGTGATAGCTACTTTGTTTATCTTTCAGTAATGAGATTAATCTTATCCAGGAAACTCAATAGCAGTCCAGTATTGCTGAAGGATCAACCTCTGTTCCACCCTTTATTTTAGATCACTAGAAAGTGTTCTTCCAACCAGTATATATTTTCCAATATATACTTCACAATATATAGGAAATATTCCAGCAGTATATTTAAATATAGATGGAGAAAGAAGTGAAATTCCTTCTGGACCCAAAATCTGATAGAATACAATATTCTTGTTTGTATTATACACTGCTTGTATAATTACACTGTTAGTTTAGAAGGACAAACACAGAAGAACTGAAGTTTTTCAGAAATACAAAGACAAAATGTAAATTTTTACTGAAAAAGGGAATGACTAACACTATAAAGAAATATCAGTTCAAGAGAATCTTGCTTAACGTAGAATTTCTGCTGGCTTAAACACAAAGTTTAAACTGTTTAGTCCAGTTTAAAATAATATCCAGTGAGCAAGCACCAGTTTAAAGCAGGATTAAGCAACTATATGCCAGAGAATTACCCGCTAACTACAGCAGAAAACACTTGTTTAAATTTTCTTTAGAAACACAATTTTAAAACTTTGGTACAAGACAAAAGAAATGAGGTAATAAACCTCCCTATGAAATTTGTGTTTCCTCAAAAAGAAATAGCGGTTTGCACCAAAAAGCTGGCAGTGATCAAAACAATTGCTAAGACATGTAAACATACTCTGCACCCCAGACTGTCCCTCCACCACTGTCTCCGATACCAGGAGGCACTTAGTTGTTAATACTGACTTGTTCATGATTGCAGTCTTAATAAAAAGGTGGACTGTATAAAAAGAAAAGGCTTCAAATTAAAGAGTTCAATATGTCATTTGTACTGTGAGTGAATACTCAGTTTTTCTTTTTACCAGTAGCCACAGCATCTTCTCAGGGTCTTTTCTATGCTGGTACAGAGGATGATTTTTAAACCTGTGGCAATTGTATGACAGCTATAGAATTAGTGCTTTGGTCTTCTTTTTTTTTTCCCTGCTTCCTGCTGAAAGTCAGGGCACCTTAATTTAGGTTTCTTCAGCTGAGATGCCCGCAATGAATAATGAAACACGCAAAAACCTAACCTGATGCCGGTTTGTACCTTTTCACTTTCTTTTTTAGTCTCCTAAAACCTAAAACTCTGTGATTGGCCGTTCTGCAGAGGCCTTCACCTATGCCCCGTGCGTTTGGTAAAGGGGGAAGGACTTGGTCTATCACACCTGCAAGCTCATATGAACAATAAAATGCGTGAGCCCTCTCACCCTTCAAAGCAGTGCGCTACTGTCAGGACCCATCTCTTGGCAATGAGAACGCAGCCGCAGATGTGTCCGCTGGGCTCGCTCTGCAGGGAGCACTGCCAGGGCCAGCGGCCCGGCCGGCTGGTCCTGCCGCCGAGGATCCTCTTGCTCATGCGGGCAGCGGGGCGGCGGCCGCAGTCTGCGGGAAGAGCAGCGCGTTAGTCGGCAGCGCAAAGCGCACCTTGTGCGGGACAGCTGGGCACAGCGTGGTGTTAGCACTCGGGAAGGTACGCTAAACGGCACCGCAAATGGGGCAATCGCTATCAAACACTGCTTTTTGCACTCCTTTGTATCAAAGGATTTGCTCTCCGGTTATTAATTCTGCTTGGATCAGCCTGAAACATTAACTCAGCCATGTTTGGAATCTTGACTTCCTTTCGCTCAGGAGGTTTTCCTGACGTCTTTTTCCTTCTAGCTAGCAACATGTTAGGCCTACTTTGTATTATCCAGAAGAATTGCCTCTGGAAGATCTGCTCAGCAGTAATAAGATTTTTCTTAAGTCAGCTGTGAGGTTAATGTCATGCTGTTTGCTCAGCTACACAGCAGAAAACTCACTTTGCCTGAAGAAATTACTAAGGGAGAATATTTAAAGATCTGAAGACATTGTAGTACTTTATCCATTGTATTTTACAAGCTATTTCCCCTAGAAATTACACCAGATTACCACCTGCCAGTTACTACTCTAAAATAATCCTTCACTTTTGTTTCACTTTATTTTCTAGATTTGAAAGATGGCAGGCTTGTTATTTATCCTGTTTATACTCAGTCTCATTAGAGAACTAAAGAACACCATCAATTTCTGCAACTAGTCCCAAGGGAGGATATGCTGCCATTGCATGTATCTGGGAATTTAGTGAAGAAATAAACTGGAGCAATGGTTATTTGTACCTTGGAATTCTTACTGTGTCCATTTAACTTCACAGAGTAAGCAACATATGTCAGAACAAAATACCTTCAATAAGCTTTTTGAAAGCTCTTTTGAGCTTTCTCCTTTCTTTGAAGAGTAGCAAATGTTTTGATTAGTTTCCCACATTTAGCTCCTGTCTTGTAATTCCTTTTCCCTGACTCAAGCTACTTCATAGTTCAAGTGTTCTTCAGGAAAGCTCTCCTTGTCTGCCAGACATGGTTTCATCATTGATGAAGAATTTCTGCATTTTCAAACCACTTAAAATTGCACAACCTGCTGTGCCAACGAACTTGGTCCCTAACTTTCTACTTCAGGTTCTTCTGTCCCCTTGAACTTAACAAACAGATCACAGCTTCAACTCCCAGGCAGATAATCTGCTAACCACTCTGCTGGTTAAGGATATTTTCAGCAGGAAGTTTTATCAAATTACTTTCTGGAACCTAACTGCTGACAAAATTCCTTTTGTGGTATCAGGAATGGGCTACCTTAACACACAGCATCCTAGTCAAAATATAAGAAAAGCTGGTGAAACTGAGTAGAGTAGGGAAAAATAAACTCACTGCAAAATTGAATGTTGCAGAAGTCTAGTAAAAATTTTAGAATGAATCCACACTAAACATCTGCATTTTTTAAAGTGATTTAACACATTTTGAAAAATATCTATTTTATAAGCACTTCTCTCTTACCTTCTTTAGTGCAAAAGAGAGCAACTTTGCTTCTGCTTTGACACGTCTGCCTAAATATTGAAACAAAACATGGTGGAAATCTCATTAATTGATTAATTTTGGTAATTTGAAAATCAGCACAGGTATTGTATTCATTGTTGTAATCCAGCTGTTAAAAATTCCCTCAAACTGCAAAAAGAAACTCAAGGAGCTTCCTATGCCAGATCATCCATGGCTTCCAGCATCTGCCTGAAGATAATTCAAAATATTAGTTCAGCTTTACAATAATTATCATGAGTAGGTGTTACATATTTTGCAGACTACCTTGTTCCCCAGGCATGGATCCAGCTCTGAGGTCAGCTGGCATGCACAGTCTGTCAAGTTCTTATTTACGGCACCTGAAAGCAGATTGCCAGTCTCCTTTTCCTTACAGTCAAAGGACAGGATTTTCTTTGAAATGCCTTTGATAACAGATGATCTTTCATGTCCTAAAAGTCTAGCTATTTTAAAAGAATCCGTGAAGTCTGCATAAGTAGCTATTAGAACAACAAAAACTTACACTTTCTGTTGAAAATCTTCAGATAAGAGAGGGAAGAATTGATTTTTTAATTTTTTTTTTGTCAAGGGAGGAGAAATCACAGTTAAATCAGCAAGCACTGTTGCACAGCTAGTTGACTACCTTTTTATTTCCACAATTTTTTCATTCCTACTGTGTACATGCTTTTCTGAGGCAGGTGCAGAGCTACACTGGACTGGATACACAGGTGATTTTTTTGCCAGGTAATTCTTTGCAGACTTTAATCCCAGCAGTTAGGAAGTGTCTTTAAAACTGCAACCACCTAAAAAGAGGCTGCATTACATGTCATAGATACTAATGTGGGCAAAACAACAGTGTCAGCCAGCCCACTAGATTACCTTGAATCTGGAATTTAACCAAATCTTTGTCCCTTACATTGCATATACCTCATTCATAAACCATGAAATTCAGTCTATTTCTCTTCCTGAAAACCCAGGTCATAAAATTATTTTTCTAGAGATAGTAGAGATAGGGCACCAATTTCAGGAAATAAAATTTTGTGCACAATTTTGACAGGCGAAGAAAATATATAGAATATAACTGAGACCAGCCATGCTCATGTTTTACACTTGTTTTTGACTTACCATACAGCCAGCTCTAAAGAGAAAACTTTAAGCTTTTATGTGTGCACTGCCTGCACTGTGGCATTCCCTCCTGTCAAAACTTAATGATTTAGTGGTGTATTTGTTAGTTCTTGGCCAAGCTCCCATTAATCCAGAAGCCTGGCAACTCCATTAAAAATACAACATACTCCACAGCACAAACCTTTTCCATGCTGCAGCTGATCCAGATGAATACACCTAGATTGCAGGGCTCAGGTGTATTCAGCCTCACCCTTCATGCACCCTTCCCCCTTAGCTTCTCACTTCTTGTTACCCATCTTCTGAATTCATGGGGACTGAAACATCTGTTTCCTATATGTAACTTTCATTTATGCAATTATATTTAACAATAAACCTCATTACTGATGCTTTCCCTCCTTTAACTTGCACTTTGGGCAAAACTAAATTTTTTGAGACTAGAATTTGTAACTCAGAGGCTCCAGATCCATTACTTCATAAGTTTCCTAGCAGACATCTTTCAAAAATGTCAAAAAGTCCCTTGAAATTTCTGCTTTGCACTTTAGTGACTGAACAGAATATGATTGTACCTTTGCATCTGGTCACAACCCAAGGTGTTTATTCTTGTATTACTCTGGAGAAAAGCATTTAGATACTGTTAGGCTAGAGGAAAAAGACAGTGAAAAAGGAAAATCAAAGAGTTAAAAAGACAACTTTTAAGAATCAGGCACCGTTCAGTAATGGCCCTTCTAGATGAGGAACTATAAATTAACTTAAAGGAATGGGGAAAATACTAATGTAAAACAAAACAGGTACAAAATTGAGATGTAAGAAAGCAAACTTAGGTCCTTGCAGGCACAATCTTTTTAGTATTCTGCCACTAGGTGAAACGTTATATAAAATAATGGAGCCAAGCAAAAGAAAAGTGGATTTCTTCCTTATATTTTCGTCTTCACACATATTCTATCTCTGCAGTTACCCAAGACAACCTTTTCTTGTGAAACAGAAGGATTTTCTATGGAAGAAGGATATTCTGAAAGCTCCTGGGCATTTCAAAGAGAATAGGGAAACCATTAATCTGCTTTTTGAAGAATGCAGTTGCCAATGGGGAATAGGTGGCTCTCCCAGTTTTGCCCTGGGTTTCTAGTTCACTGGCTCTTCAAAGTCACACTTTGAATGTCTCAACCATGAGATCCTGGCTTCTCATTAGTAACTGCCTCTTTACTTGGGTTAATTAAAAGGAATCATCTGAAGCCAGAGCTAAGGAAACCTACTGAACTAAACTGAAGAAGCTGTGGTTGCTCCAAATTAATGAATCCAGACTACATGGGCTGCAGAGGATGTAAGATGTCACTGCAGATTTTGCTACATACTACTTGTTGGACTTTCTTGCTCAGCAGAGATTTAACAAAGGTGTTTGGTCCAGGTACTTCAAGGGCACCTGGAGAGTGATACAGGGACACCTCTGTATCACTCAAATGCTCTTATTCTACCAGAAAGGGCTCCTGAGGATTCACAAAATAGTCTCAAAAGAGACTGCAGTGGCTGTAGACACTAAAATAATTGTAGACTGTATCTTAACAACTTACATGAGTATGTGCTGGGATTTATACACAGACAACATGGATAAAAAGAGCTTACCAAAGAGTTTGTCATCCTGCAGTGATAAGTGACCACCCACAGCAGTGAAATTGGTCTTTTTTTTACCTGCTACTTACCCATTCACTAGAAGTGCATGTAAAGTGGATGCATTTTTATTCTTCCAGTCTGAGTGCAGATTCAGCCATTTTTGGTCCTGCATTTGGTCATTGTCTATTACAATTTCTGTTTTGGATGGTCCTCTGAAACAAATGAAAGACATTGATAGAACTTCTGATAGGTTTCTGTGTTACAGTTATAAAGGTGAAGAGGCCCTAACATATCTGTTTATTCTAATGATAAAAGTCTGAATGATATGGCAAAGTAACGAGTGGCAGATACACAATTAGGAGAATGAAATCACCCTAAGAAGCCAGGCCAGCCTACGTATGACTGCCACATTGTATTTCCCAACAAGAAGCAGAATTGGAGTCAGGAACAGCAAGAACCTTCTCATGGCATTTACTGTAAGGCACATATTGATACTGTTTCAACAGTTTCTTGGCCTCCCAAAATGCAAAAAAAAAAAAATCTTCATATGTAAAAAAGCGGTAATAGAAAATAATATTTTCTTACATTCCTGTCATTGGAAATCCATTAAAATTTAACAGTAAAGAGCAGTCTAGGTCTTGTTAATAAAACTTGAGAGTATCTCTAAGTCCAAGCTGCCTGCTTTGCAAAACAGAACAAATCACTGTTGATAATGTCAAACCTGTTCTTCTGCAGCAACCTAACAAGTATTTGAGTGGCAATTTGTGGTAATCACTGTGATATTTTCAGGTTTCAAAATTTCTGTCCTATCTCCTAGCTGATAAACTAGTCAAACCTGTGAAGAGTGAGTTAACTCATAATTACACTGAAAAAAAAAAATTACTTGCTTGCTTTATGCATGCTGGTTTTGGCTGGGATAGAGTTAATTTTCTTCACAGCTAGTATGGGGTTGTGTTCCATATTTGTGCTGAAATCACTGTTGATAACAGAGGGCTGATTTCATTCTTGCTGAGCAGGGCTTGTCAGAGTCAAAGCCTTTTCTGCTTCTCACCCCACTCAAGCAGCAATGGAGCTGGGGCTGACAAGGACTCAGTAGAGGCCACAGCCAGGAGAGCTGACCCCACCTCTCCAAAGGGACATTCCACATCACACAGCTTCACGTTCTGTATGCCAAGGGGGAGGAAGGAGAAGGAAGCTGAGGGGAGATGTTTGGAGTGATGGCCTTTGTCTTTCCAAGTCATCACCACAGGTGAAGGACCCCGTTTTCCTGGAGATGGCTTAATAGTTGCCTGCCCATGGAAGTGCTGAATAAATTTCTTGTTTTGCTGTGCTTGTGTGCATGGCTTTTGCTTTACCTATTAAACTCTCTTTATCCCAACCTATGAGCTTTCCTACTTCAACTCTTCTGGATTGTCTTCTCTCTCCCAGCAGGAGGAGTGAGCAAGCAGCTGTGCAGGGCTGAGCTGCTGGCTGGCATTAAACCACAACACTCTGTTCTCTGAGTCTGAAAATTATAGATTTCATAAAGTATCATTTTGGAGCTAAAGTTAAAAAAAGATGGGAACATCTAAAGTTAAAGCTTCAAATAAAATCTAGATTTTCTTAGCTGGAAGTATTAATTCAACTTCAAATTAAATGTAAAGTCCTTCATTTAAAGTCAATTAACTTTTCATTTTAAAAATACAAAGGATGTATTTCAGAGAAAAATGTTGTTTTGAAACAAAATTTTAGTGGTTTAATTTCAAAATTTTGAAATAACTTGATTTTTCAACCTTTTTTCCCCCTGTAATGAAACTATTCACTGAATTTGAACAAAATCAGTTGTTTCTTTGTTCAGCATCATCATTTACAGAATTATTATTCACTGAGAAATTTTCCCATAGTGTAATTTATGCTTGTTTTTTCAAGGTATGTAGCATATTTATTCTCCTATTACTAATTTCTTATCTCTAACAGAATTTGAGAGCCATAGTCTCATAGACATTTTTCTCATTGAGCTTACTTTTTATATCTAAAGCTAACACTGACATCATTTCATGAGCCAAGATTCCCTTTGAAAGGATGCCTGTCTGTTTAACGACACAGGGTTTATATGAGAGGATGTCTTTCATTAGGATGCTTGACAGGAGTTGAGGAGAGGGTGTGGAGGTCAAATAAGACTTTCCTGAATTACATAGCAGAAAGAGCAAAACTGAGAGAAGACCTATTTGTCTGAAAGCTTTTCTGATAAAAGATGCTGTGTTTCTTGCAGTCCTTTCCCTTCTCAATGTCTTAAGTCACATCATTAAATTTTAGAATAGGTTGCTCAGAGTCCCATCAAACCTGACCTTGTGTATTTCCAGGAATGGGGTGTCTACCATTTCTCTGGGTAACCTGTTCCAGTGTTTCACATCCTCATTGTGAAAAATCCATTCCTTATGTTTAGTCTAAATCTACACTATTTTAGTTTCAATATATAAGTAAAAAAAAACAAACCCAAAACACTTCAACTTGCAGATTTCAGAATAAATTTTCAATGCAGAGATTTAATATCTGCTTAGTGTTAAATGGAGTAAATTTGAATCTGGAAGCCTGTGGATAAACAATGAAAGAAAAAAGTGGGTAGTAGGTTTATAATGTACATGTTACAGCATAAAGTAGTTTGAAAAAGATTTGTGACCAATCATTAGAATAAGAACATTTCCTTCTTTTGTAATTTTCATGTATCTTTCTTTTAGTCAAGCACAGAATGGTTGGGTTTGGAAGAGACCTCTGTAGGTCAAGTATGGCCACCTATGGCGAATTACCCAGAAGCACATTCAGACAGCTCCAAGGCTGTTTGAGATAATAAAATTATTATTAAGAATTACCATTTTACTTTAAAAAAAAAGAAAATATCCAATAATGGAACTAGAAAGTGTTATATGAGGGGACTGACCACATGCTTAATGACTGTTTGAAGAAATTGTCACAACTTTTCAGGAATTATAAGGTTGGAATTTCTTCAAAAACAGCCTTATCCAAATAATTATATTTTAAACTGCATATGTACATAAAATATGAGAAATAATCTATCAGATATTAATCTAGCATAAGTCTAATGAATACATACACTGAATGAAGTTTACATATTTTAACATTGGTTTATTATTGCTCCAATTTACTAGAACAGCCTTCCACATCTACCACAGCTCTATATTGAGTAAATTTCACTGAGTTATTAGTTGCCATTCTTAAAAAATTAAATTAAATGTAAAAAAAATGCTATCTTTCTACATCATCTACAGGATTAATAGAACACTGTGGCTATGGAAAACATAAATCAATTCCAGATAGGTTAAGAGTATGTTACGTTCTGTTGAATGGGTCTAGAAATCTAGATTGAATTACTGAGCTCAACTATTTCCCCTTTGGCATAGAGTTTGTTCCATTAAATGTCATGTTTATTCTTGGAGAAAATAAAATTTCATTCAGAAGTTCAAATTTATTGGGTTTACATGGGTATGACAGAAGGATTCTGGGTTTTGTTTCTGTTACGTTCTTTAAGCAAATCAAACATTAAGCCGAGCTTCCATTATTCTGCTTGCAGAAATAGTTATAGAGTAATAAAAAACCATAAATCAGATCATGTAAAAACAAGAGATTGTTTCTCTAGTAGCTTGACTGCTCAGTTGTCAAATATTCAAGATCTTTAGACCAAAGACATGATAGACAAAGAGTGAAAATGTACCAGGAAAGACAAAAGGCCAGGCAGCAACCACAGACTTGCTTGTCCCTTTCATAAATACACACACACAGTAGATGCTACAGCAGAGGAAGGAAGGAAAAGGAGCTACTGGTTTCTGTGGACCACCAGTGACACAGCCTCCAAGAAAAGGAGCGGCACTCACGGGAAGACATATCAGTAGAATTTTAAAAACAAGTAACTTGGTAGACAGCTGCATAGATTTTACAGGATATTAAACCAGAACAAGCAGGTGAAGTAAAATTCCCCTGTATTCTGCTGACTATAAACTCTTTAAGTTTATTATATTTGCTATATCATCCTAGTGCAGCTGAGCAAGACAAATTATTCCACTATATTTTCACAGAATGACAGAACAACTCCACTACTGCCTTTATCAAATTTCAGAGCTGAGCAGACCATGCTTTTATGATCACCATTTCATCAACAAAGAATGTGGACTTCCAAGTATATGAAAGCGGGTTTCTTCAACTGAATATCATGACAAAGTACCTCAGAAAATGGACTTGTGAGATTTAAGAATCATTTTTGTCTCTTACATTACTTAGAAGTGTAGGATTGAGAACACCTGTTAGCAAGCATCAGCAAAGAAGCAGGAAGGTGTAGTAGTGATAGTTTAATACTTTTTCATTTTCCCAGAAGCAAGCATCATGGGAAAGAGAAGAAAATTTTATGTTCGGACCAACAGCAAGGTGAACACGAGGCAGCAGTGCCCTGGCAGCCAGGAGGACCAACCCTGTCCTGGGGTGGCCTCATTTTGAGTGCTGGGGGCAGTTTTGGGTGCCACAGTGTAAGAAAGATATTAAACTATTAAAGAACATCCAAAAGATGGCCATGAGGATGGGGAAGGGACTGGAAGGGAAGCTGTATGAGGAGTGTCTGAGGTCACTTAGTTACCTCAGGAGGGAAAGCAGAGACACAGACACTGATCTCTTCAATCTTGTGACCAGTGACAGGACTCAAGGGAACGGTATGAAGTGTCAGGGGAAGTTTAGGTTAGGTAACAGCAAAAGGTTTTCCACCCAGAGATGGTTGGGCACTGAACAGGCTCCCCAGGGAAGTGGTCACAGCATCAAGCCTGTTCAAGAAGCATTTGGACAATGTTCTCAGGCACAGGGTGTGATGGTTGGGGTGTCCTGTGCAGGGACAGGAGCTGGATTCAATGATACTGATGGGTCCCTTCCAACTCAGTATATTCTATGATTCTATAAAGCTTTATTAGGATGCTATATAAAGCTAAAGCATAAAGATAATGCAATTATTTAGATACTCCAAACTAGATAGAGAAGTATAAAATTGTTGTGCATTAGGATGGCAGGCAGTCCATTTACAGGTGGTCTTCAATTCAGGGCATCTGTTAGAACTGATGTCAAGTATCCCTGCAGTGCAAGATCATACAGATTACATTAAGTGCAGACTCCATTAAGTCTTTTTCCTCCTGTGTACATGCATGTCAGTATGTGTTGTGGAGAAAAGCAAAAAAGAAAAAAACACTTCTTAATTTAATTTGGGTATCAGACACTGGCAAAAGATAGCCTTATATACCATCAGACTTGCCTCTAACTAGTAAGAGACAGCTGTGAATATCAGAGCAGCTGAACTTGTTTTTAATCCAACAGTTATATTTTGCATCAATTATTCCACAATTTAGTGTGCATGCAATAAGACACTTTGAAGCTATTTCTTTTTCTGAGTTCCACACAGCAACTCTCTCTTTAACAATTTGTTGTTCAGAGATGCCCAAGTTAAATACATCTAACAGTATTTCAGAATGTGAATAAGAGAAGATTATTTTTTCTGTATTTCCTAAGTCTGCTTTAATTCTTTAGGAAGAAACAGAGTATTACATTGCCAAACAATTCTGAGCCTCAGCAATAACTGAGTTCAAGTACTGAGACTTGGGAAAACACCATTATCTTTTCAACACACTCTTATAATAACAATCATGCAACGTTTATAAAGTGGAGAAAGTGCCTAGATTTTAGTGAAATTCTGTTCCTGCCATAGTTTACAAAATTTCATTACCTCTTTTCTCTGTGAACCATTTCCACAGCAGTCTAACATTGCAGTGATCAACGATAGCTCACATCTAACTCCAGCACTCCAGTTGTCCTAAGAAATTCATCAAAGCTACAAACTACTGACCTTACCCTAAACCCATCTGATTGCAGGCCAGTTGGCTTAAGTTTTCTTGCCACTCATCAGCACAAACATGGTTAGCAGCAGCTGATCTGTGAACGGTCAGGAGCATCAAGGAATTTGTGTTTTTAGACAGTGTAACTGGAAAGGAAAAAGGAAGAAAACTTCAGTATTATTTCAAATAGTTTTACAGATGGAACCTGAAAACATACATACAACTAAATCAAGATTCTTCCAAGTTGCTGGCACTTTTCCTAACTTTACATGCTGAATAGCTATGCAATCTAAAACCAGTGCAAATGTGGTTATCAGAACCTTGCTAAGAGTGCATGAGACACTGAACAGCAAAGGCATCAAGAGGGTAAGAATAAACCGGAATACTTCTAATTCACCAGCACAGATTTACATGGGTTGCTGATGGCCTTAATTGTTATAAATCTAGTTAGATAATCTATATAGAAAGACCATCACCATTTCTTCTGTCATTATCTGTATATAAAAGTTCAGGAACTGCTTTTATCACATGCAAAAAAGATTCTCAAAAGGTCCTTCCTAATCTCAATGTCTTTTTAATCTCTCCACTATCCACAATACTTTCCAGATTACACACATCATCTACACCTTTTCTTGCTATATCACTTTTCGTACATCTTTGCACTGTGACACTGCACACTGAGCTTTTGCTTTTTCTTTTGCCCACTTCCTTGCATGCTTTCCTAACCTTACCCTAGTCTTCTCTTTGCTAATAGAGGGAGCACCTGTCCACCACTGTATTCTGAATTAAATCACCAGTGATTACTACCATCACCCAAACACCACTTTGAGGCAGAAACTTACCACAGTCCCATTCATCTGAACTGTCACTACAGTCTGCCTGCCCATCACACCAGAGTTCACGTGGCACACATTCATGGTTGGCGCATTCAAGCTCACTCTCCTCACAAAACGCTGCAAAGACAAAAACATGCTTCCTCATGAGAAGGCATATCAAAGTGAAATTCACATTGAGACAAAAAATTGAGAAGGAGGGTGAAGGTAGGTAGAGATCAGATTTATGAAAAAGGTAAGCGAGACAGATTTGCATGGATACCACTAATGCAGAAGGTGGTTGCTGCCATGCAGTGACAGAGGGCATTGCAATTCAGAGGGAAGGAAGAGTGTCTAGAAATACAAGATCTGTGATTACTCAGTATCATTTGTGGTCTTGTTATATGAAACCTGTCTAAGCCCCTCAGAAGCCATGAGAGAAAATTCTGTTGCATGCTTTTTAGCCGACTGATCCAAATTTGTTTAATTCATCATGACTTTTGAAAAAATTATTTTATCACAATGAATATCTATTTCCTCCCATCCACAGCAATTATATATTCATTTCTGAATTCACCTTTGCTTTTGACAATTATATATTTATTTTTATTTATTTTTTAACCACTTTGGAGGTAGAGAACTGCTGTACTGATACACAAGTTCCTGTTCACAGCTGGTATCCTTACATATGGATTTCCAGAGTCTGTTCAGTATGGGAACCACAAGAGCTTCCATTTGCAAATGACTTTTAGTTTTCCCCCAACAACCTCCCTTCCAAAAGGAAGGTGTGTAGAAGTACAGTATCTTCCTCCCTAACACACTTCCAGCTTCTATAAACCCCACAGTTAGGGAATTCTGAGACCTGCGGCAGGGCAGAGAGGGAGCAAATGCATGGGAGGGAGCTGCAATCAGTTGTGCCCATGTTTGGCTGACGTATAGCATTTATAGTGCCATACAATCCAAGCATTTATTTACAACAGTAGTACAAAAAGTGCACTCCACAGTGAAAACCATACAGATAGAGCAGGTAACACTGTCTACCCCTGATCTTTCTGGCTCTGGAATAAAGCATGCAATAACAGAAAAAGCACTTTAACTCCACCTTCCAGAGAGAGCATAATTCAAAAACTGGAATCTCTCAGTTGGGAAAACTTTGCTGCCATTTTAGAATATTCAAGCCCCAACTCAAAAGCAGAGAGGAAATGTACTCTGGTAATTATAAAAAACCTTAGCCCTTTGGTAATTTTTTCTCTGTCATGATCTTAATGTGTGATCACGAGTAAATCACTTTAATATCATCTCCACTCTTTAGATTACAGTACAGAGCTTGGAAGTTAAATGGTATAATCTTTGCAATGAAAAGCAGATTAAGAAATGTTTTGTGAGCTTCAGCTTCCTAAAAAGAAACAAAATTTGATCTAGCGATAAATGCAGGCTGCTGTTCATTTTGGTAAACATATTCATAGGTTTCACTTAGCACATAAAATGTGCCTACCATTCTGCTCCTACCAACAGAACTCTAGAGACTCAGGAGCAACTTCTTTTAAATCACAAAATTATATCCAAACATTCCATCAAAAATTACAAAATACTAAGTTTGCTCAGAGAAGGAAAATTTAAATTCTCAATTAACTTTACTAATGATCCCTCCTTTCTTGTGCAGACTTTCTCCCAGTATTTCTTTTCTACTTTCTTGTCTTGGGAACATGCCCACACACAAAGGTTTTCCAAATGGAAGAGAATTCAGAGTATCACTAATATATTAATGGAACTGAGTGGAGCTGCCATCTCAGGACATTCAATCCCAGTTTAGTGTGCAGGGAGCCTGCAAAGCAGCTGGTGTTTGCAGATATATCACCACTTCCCATTCCATTCTCAGATGGAAACAGTGGAAACAGAACTGAGGGCAGTCCTTGCAGGGGACCAGAGGGTCTGCTGCACACTGCCAGAACTCTGAACAGACTTAAACTGTACACATGGACAGTGTGCCCATGCCACCAGTGGACCACAGTAAGTTTTGTATCTTGATTGTTATCACAGTTTGGATTGTTGAAGAAATCTGTGGAGCCAAGTAAGGAGACAGAATCTAAGAAATGTCAATCAGAAAAGAGAATAAATAAAGAAGAGAGATATATGACTTTTACCAAAACACAGATCAGAAGTAAAATCAAGTAGAAATCAAGGAAAAAATGAGCAGTGAGCATCTGTGAGCTATGCCTGTATGGAATGAAGTTGAGGAAACCTGGGAAAAGAAGTCAAAAGTCTACAAGGCACAGAAGTACAAAGGTGCAAGAACAAGGAGGAAGAAAGAGAATAGAAAGAAAAAAAAAAAGAAAAAGAGGATGAGAAGATGAGAGTGACCAAATAAACAGCAAGGATCCAAGGATGTGAATGACAAAGGACACAAAAGGAGGAAAAGGAGAAGTTTGTGCCACAGACAAACTGAAAAGGGAACTGAGGGAATGACTAAGTCTTTCTGCCTATAGAATGTATAAAACATTTTTACTTTAATTTTTTTTTCACCCAACATCCCAAAAGTGTGATCAGCCTTTTAAGGGAATAACAAACTGCATGAGTCCTTACAGCAATTCTTTTCATCCATCATGTCAGGGCAGTCTGGGAAACCATCACAGATCATAGTGTGTTTGATGCACAGTTTCTTCAAAGGACACTCCCAAAGACCCCTTTCTCTACAACCTGGAGGCAGAGAAGCACAGTTCTGAAATACTTGCATGCAATATTGAATCAGCTGTTTTATTCCTTAAAAGTTCTGAAACACACAAAATATTTTCACTTGTAATATAATTTTTAGAAGGTACCAAGAATAGTTACTAATGAAGAAACAAAAATAAGATTGGCACATTGCACACCTAATAAATTAATCTAAATATTACAGCACTTCATAATACTTCAGTGCTTTTTAAATAATAATTGTATTATGATTATACATTATACATATCTATAATGGTTTAGGCATTAGCTCAATTAGCTCAAAATCCACACACCACTATTCTTGAAATACATTTAATAGTAATATAAGAACTTTTCTAATCCTGAAGTCTATAGAAATTCCTTGGTCTTTCAAAAGCAAACTATAAAAGCATGGAATCTCCATGAAACACTGTAGAAATACATACTTCTTTTTTTCAGCAGTGCTGATGCAGAATCAAACACAGAATCACAATGAAAGGTAGAAAGAGAAGTAATACAAAATTATGTCAGTGTTTTGACAGTAAAACTTCTGTTGGTCAGCTAGAGGAAATTAAGTATAGCCCAAGCTACATTTTAGAAAATAGTTTTCTCTTGTTTTCTTCCACTTTTTATTTCCATCAACTAATAAAGTATTTTATTGTGATACCAGTTTAAATAATTTGGCATACTAATGTCCTGCATGTCTCACATTCAGGTTTCATAGGAAACCATAAAAATGACGTATTGTCCTGACTAAACCAGATTATTTGATTGCCTTGTTTGGCCTGTTCAATAGATGATACTTTTCATTTTAATCTAAGGGAAAATTCAATTGATTCAATTGATATTCATGCAAGTAGTTCAGGTATTAAATTCAAAAACAGTATTTAAAGCAGCACCTGTCTTTGCCTAGACCTGGAACTGTGAAAGCGTATCAGCAATAAGTTACTAAGCAAATACATTGTTTCCAAGAAGTTTTAATTCAGAAGTACATATTTTACAAATGTGAACCAGAGAATCCCTACTGGATCATTGGAAAAATCTATTCAGGTTTTAAGTGTAACTGGATGTATGGGGAGCTTGATTTTGTTTAGATTTGAAAAAACACGTAAGTAAATGTTAAAGCCCAGAGAAATAAATAGCCTTAACCTTTGAAACTGCTTCCTCATGATTAAATAACTTTCTTAGGTACCACCACTTTCCAGGTCTCCTTCATTTCAATATTTGTGATAACTATTAATGAAATATTAATTGAAATCAAACAAAATCTCTACTCTTACATAAAAAAAGGAATGCCACGTTAGAATCTTGATATGAATATAAAATTAAAAAAGCTTAAACCCCCATAATTTATGAACCTTGCAATTTTTTTAGCAGAGTGTTTGCCATTCATTAAATGCATGTTTGCCTTTCCTCTTCATCACACATTACAGTGTTACACTGTGAAGTGTACCAGGACTCTACAAAACTAATCACATAGACAAATATAGAGACAATTCCCTATGAAAAATTCACTGCTTACTGAATTCAGTGCTCAAATACACTTTTTTTGCTGGTAAAGATCATCTACCATTTGGAGTATTTATATTTTATCTCTAATTATTTTTGTGACATGCATTTTCAATGACAGGGAAAACAGAGGTAGGAAAACTTGTCTACATGTACATTACCCCTATCTCAAAAATGCATTTTGACAAGATACATGGTTTCATATATGATCTTAGCTTCATTCTTCTTCATAATATGAAGTTGCCAATTGTTATCCATATATACGTTTCCCACGCAATTACCACTGAATCATTAACATCAAGACCACCACATTTTTCTCTCTCCTACAATACTACAGGTCAAAACCCAGATTGCAGAAAGCAGGGAAAGACAGTAATAGTTATGAATCTTATGATCTCAATGTCTTTAGTAGGTGTAGGACTGCCTTCTGTTCCCTGCCAGAGGCACTGTTCAGCAGCCAGCAATTTAATGCATTCAATTACAACCAACTACATTTAATACCACAAACTCTCGTGACATCTTTCATAATAATATATTTTGGAAATTACCCTCCCTACACTTCACTGCACTCAGAAGTCTCACTTCCAGTAATCTCAGTCAAATTTTCTCCCCAAATCCTATTGTAAATGGCCCTAAAGTCTCAGGATTTCACTGCAATTACATGGCTGAGATGTCCTCTCACAAAGACCATGTGAAAGCATGGCAGCAATTGCTAGCAGGAGGAGACACTAGGTGCTGAATACAGCTCTACTCTGCATGAGGAGAGTAAACCTCAGTCCCTTTGGACTTTATACTACACTTGTATTTTTTTATATATTATATTTTCTGGCCAGAGTAGGCTAAGCATAAGAAAGCTGTAGCTAGTCATTTTCAGCCTCCCACTCCCTGCACTGTAAAGCTGTTCCATGTCTATCACTTAAAGCACTTCAAATGCAAGCGTTTCAAATTAAACATTCAGTGATTTTTAATGTTAGAAAACCAATTTAAAAGTATAAAGCTAATAAAATTTGAGCTATCCCTTTACACATGGAATGATCATCAAGTTTTGATTTTGTCCTGCACACATGGAATATGAATAATTTGGAGACAGTTACTTCTGGAGCTCTACAAGGACTTTTTGTTCTTCAGTAACAGTATTAGCCCTGGTCAATGTAATGTGACTCTGACAGCAGTAATTTCCTAGCTGATACAGTCTTCTGTATTTATAGAAACTGATAAGAATTCTGCTGATTGCTTGTGACATTATGTCTAGACTTCAGAAAAAGAGAGATCCACTCGAGAAATTAATGTTACATATTAGAACAATGTTTCATACGTTAATGTCTAGGAGAATAAAATTATCCTAAAAGACATATAACAATTAGTTTTCCAAGGAGTTCAAAATTGGTGGCAACAAAAAGCATTTGGCAGAGAGGACAATTGAGACAATTGATTCAAAGTAAAGAGATGTCAAACTCTGAAAGGGTCACTGTGATCTTCCGCTCTGACTTTCCTTTATAATCCAAACAAGAGAATGACCTAGCATTAAATCATATTTCAAAGAGCATATCCTTTTTTTCTTTCTTTTCACAGGGGTGGAGGAAGGGAAAGAAAGAAAGAGAGAAAGAGGAGAGAGAATACAAGCATGATCTGGAAACTCCCAGAGACCGAGAATACATCACACATTGGGGATAAATAAACCTTTGTCTACTGCAAACGTTAAAACAATCTGCTTTTTAAAAAGAAGCATTTTATAGGACTGCCAAGACTGAATTTCAGCCTAGCTTTAGCTTTCTGGTGTTGAATTTTATTTTGTCTCTGAGCAGAAATTCCCTTATTTCCACAGTTTTGTTGTTCACATAAACTCTGCTTCCCTCTTAACCCATTCTCTGCTAAAAAAAAATACACAGGTTGTGCAACTTAACACTACTCTGCTGGAATGTTTTCCAAGCCTTTGCTCATAAGCACACCTTTTCTCTAAATCCTTAGTGATGTATAATTATTGTCTTTTCCCCTAGGGATGCCAGGCCTGCATGCAGATCTCCCTGAAGGCTACAGCTTAGACAATTAAGAAATATTTATAACTCCGTTTTCCTTCTGAAACTGTCTTGCCAGCATGGATGAGGATATGTAGTGACCAAGAGATTTTTTGATTATTTCCGGTTCAATACATCCCCTTACGTTAAAAGTCAAAAGCATCTATAGTAAAAGTAAACTCAGAAACATATTGGAGAATAAACTTAGAGGGTTTACGCTTGTACTTGTAACTTGAGGTTGACCAATCTGAAATAACCATGCAGAATCCACTTCAGCAACAGAATATATCATAATGACATCTTTTGTCTATACATCCTAACGAGAACATTATCATGTATAAATTTAAACCTACATTTACAGATTCAAGATTTAATCTTTCATCTGCCAGGGAGTTACATTTTAGCTCAGTAAAGCCTTCAGTAATATGAAAAGAACTAAATCTGCAGAATGTTTTTAGCCTGGTTCTTTAATGAATACTCAAACATCCCAGAGTATGATTATCAGAATCTAAATGATCAGTTATCACAAATTGTATTCCTGTTGATTACGAAGGACTCCTGCTATAGAATTTTTAGTGATACAGTCTTAAAAAATCCCCAATACTTTTAAACATACCAAAAAAGGGGCTGAACTCTCCTGCTACATTTCAAGTAACTGAATGAAAAATAAAGCTCATTTTCTAATGCTGCAGCTACCCTCCATTCCAACTCATTGAATTTATTTACCACAGCCATCCTCATCACTGTCATCCTCACAGTCAGCTTGACCATCACATCTCCTGGACGCCAGGACACACCTCCCAGAACGGCACTTGAAGTGACTGGGCGAGCATTCTGTCAAAGACAGCAAACAGGGAGAAACAGGACTCCGTAAGATAAAAGCTTCATCAGGACATGGGCACTCGCTTATCTCCGGGGCTGTTTCAGATGGGTAAATAATAGGGATTGAAAGCTTGTGAGACTGGAACTGTGTATCAGGTGAGACTCTACATAATTGCACCTGGAACGTGGTGGAGCAACATTTTCCAGAGCTCTCCCTCACATGCTGCCCTCTGTAAAATGTCACTGCTTTGCCAAATCACTGGCATACAATGTTTAGACCATGGGTATGGATTTCCCAGCTATTCTTCTCACCATTGTGGTGGTGTGTTATGCATTGAAATAAGTATAAGAAATCCCCATAATAATAATAATAATTAAAAAAAAAACCAAAAGAGATTGACAATTATGTGTCTATTTCAACTAATAAAACCAGGTATAACTTTCCACTAATTAACCCTTTCAATGCTTCCGCCTCATCTCACACAGTACCATTCTGGGACAAAGGAGTGGAACAGAGTTGGCAGATCTTTAAGGAACTCTTTAATTGAGTGTTAGCAATTCCCTGCAGCAAGTAATCCAGCAAAGAACCCAAGGGACTGGCATGGCTGAGTAGGGGAACCCAGTTTGGAATAATTTCCACAGTTTAAATATTATAATTTAAACAGGAGGTATGAAAAAAACAAACACCAGTGACTTTGGTAATCCATTTAAATATTTTATTTGCTGTAATATGTATAGGAGATACCTTCTACATCTTCATCTGGTGTTAGACAAGTTTGATTGTCCAAGTTCTCATCTGGAAACTGAGTGCAGTCTGTATCTTCTGGCCACTGCAGACCTACAATCCCAAGCACAGCCTCACAGCGTTCCTTAGACTGTACACATAATGTCCTGAGGAGACAAAGCAGAATTGCACTGAGTAATTGAATGAATGGCTTAGAAATTCATAGATAATAATTTACAGTTAATAATCCTAGCCAAAGTTAAAGATGAAGATTAAGAAAAAGGATCAGTTAAACAGATGTTTTAATATGAAAAAAAAAACATATATCAGAGAATGCTACTGTTGAAGCATTATTTTAAGTTACTGTTGTGCAGTTATATTATAAATAGTTATGTTATAAATAGGCTAATAATAACCAAATATAACTGCTTAAAAACATGTTCTCCTCTGTAAGAGATGGCAGAGAACTTTTAAGAAGCACTTACTGCTTTCCTTCAGGGAAAAAAAAACCAAACACATTTTGTACTAGTGAAATGTTACCTCTTCTGATTATGCTACTTCAGAAACCATGTGGTTTTTGAAGGACAAAATATTTAAGCCTGCAAACAAAAGAGTGAAGAACTCCCCAGGGAATCCAATAAAATTAAAACTTTAGAAAAAGCAAAGCTCAGACCAACCCAGTCTTAAGGCTGTTGTCAGAGCAACAGAATACCTTCTACTTCTTCATCTGGTGTTAGACAAGTTTGGTTGGTCAAATCAGGAAAAGGCATGAATAGAGTCCTTCTGCAGCATTTTTTTTTTTTAACCATATAAAAGATGGGACTCACCGCAAAATTTGTTCAATCCATTGAGATTGAAAATCATTCATCACGTCTCTCAAAATACCCACTGTCAAATGCTTCAAAATTACAAAGAGAAAATGCATAATAGAAAAACCCCCTAATGTGTGAAACATTTAGCCAGTACTTCTGTCTGGGATCCCAGTTATAGGCTGAAAAATATTCAACTAAATGATCCCACCCTTTATTTTTTTTTTAATTTATTTTATGTAACTGTAAATTTGCCTTTATGTAATTTGATTCATATTCACACATCTTTCTTCTAGAGACACTCATTTTGTGGGAGGCATTTCATTCTACTCATTTTTCTTTGGCCTTTTGACTAATTGGACTTTTTTATTTTCTTGTAACTGGCTTTGGAAAATGCTGTGACCAAAACCAACAAAACAAATCCATATAGGATTAATTATTTTATGCTCTTTTGGGAAAATAATACAGTATTAATCAACCCAAACTTAATTTTGTTTTGAGGATTTAGATGAAGAAGAGTCAATGTTTTTCCACACCAAACAATTCACCAAGTTGAAAAACCAGACAGAATGCACTGATGTCAGTTAACAATGTTACAGACTCTCTCTTCCCTTTTAGATTCTCCTCAATAGCAAAGAGGATGACACCACTTTATAATCTTAGATTTCTGAATGCCAGAATTTTTATTTCCCAGTGACAAAAAACAAAATCCACAACAAAAATACGATAATATAGCAGAGACATCTAAGCTGCTTCTGTCCTGTGTTCTCTGCATACTTAGATCTTTGGTAAATCTGACCTTTTTCCAGAGTATTATAAGGCATTTAGTTGTCTGTCTGTGGTGAAAGAATTATAATCTATTTAAACTTCAAAGTAGGCCTGGAATAATATTATCATCACCTTATCAGAGATGAAGAATAATGTTCAGAAATTGAAAACATACTTGATGCATCAATAACATTATAGATAATAGTAAGTTCAGTTCTTTCCAAAAAATCTCCGAGTGTTCTTTACTTTGAATAAAATTTTATGAAGACTGTCACAGTTAAAAAACAAAGCATGACAGCCAAACTAACATAAAGACAACAAAAAGCCTTGCAAAGCAGGGACAGCAGTTTTATACAGGGGGAGTAGAATTAAAATAATTTAGTTATAGCACCTGGAATGAGAAAACAGATCCATGTGCCTGTATTAAAGAAATCTAATGCATTTCTGATAAGTTTGTATTATAAAAGATCCAGAATTATAACATTAATGTGCAATTCATGGTTGAAAAGTACGCTTTGACTTAAAAAGCGTAACACTGAAAGACTGTGTTAGTTCAGTTTCATATTTACAGGAAAAGACAGGTAAAACAATACATATATCCTGTTAAGCCAAACTAATCACTGATCATTTGAAAAAGAGGGCAGTTATTTTGAAAGTCAGCAGCAGATTCTCAGAATATAATTTCTGTGCCAACAATGAAACATCTTCTCAGAGCTTCAAACTGTAAAGCAGATTCACATTTATACTGAAATATCAAATTTATTTAATTTTTGTTGTATGAGGTTATTTTTCTTTTTTCATTTTTAAAACATTTGTAGGTTTTTTACTTCATGCGAGTATCTGAAATTCTTCCTAAAATGTTATTGTTAAGCAGATACTACAGATCTAATGGGACCTTCAAAGGGGTCCCTTCCTGACAAAAACACTCTTTATCTGTGACCTTATATAAGAGTGAAACCTAAAAACTATTGTAAAAGTAAAAGTAGAGCTTTGAATCCTACGATTTAAACTTCCATGTCATATATTCAATTTGGTCTAAATTTGGTGTTACCCTGTTTTGAGCAGGAAGTTGGACCGGATGACTTACAGAGGTTGCTATCAAATTAAATTGTTCTGTGCTTTCTGTAAGTTCCCCTTCATCTGTTTAATACTTAAAATTTGAAGACTATTAAACTATATTATCACACTTCCTAAAATGTTAGCTAGGTAGGATGGTAAAGAGCCTATCATTTAACTGACATCCCTCTACACTAGAATAAGTTAATCCAATTCTTATCTATTATACTGCTTTCTTAAAAAAACCCCAAAACCTTGATTTTCAAACTAGCAAGCTTGACACAGAGCTTACACAAACCCCTCTGTAACTTTGAAGCTATCCTGTATGCAATATTTTCTTTCCCATTAGGTTCCTATGTGAGAATTTAACAGCATATTCTTAAACTTCCTTGTGGCTCATTCTTATCTTGCGCCAAGAAGAACATCACTAGACAAAGTAATGTTACCTATTTCCCAACAGTATCACATAATAAGAAATTTTCGGATGTGTACTGCAATTTTTGATGCACCTTCAAACAGAAGATGTTAATTAATCAATACTGTCAAGGTAGTCCCAACAAAAGAGGCAGAAATGCAGAATGAGAGGGCTCTAGCAGTCAGTAGGTCAAAGAGCTCTGCCTGTTGGTCAAGACCTCCTAACCTGCAACAACTGCTGCTAAGAAAGCCATGAGATCTACAGAACAGTCTCTTTTGAACAAATACAGGCATAACTTCAAAAAGCACAGTGATGTTATTCAATGAGGATGGTGGAATAGCTGCTCTGACAAGCAGAAAACCTAAGTTAGCCTGTAATTCAGAATGATGAGTCACTCCTAATTTAGAAAGGTAAACATTCATTAAAATATCAGGTTTTGTTGAACATTTGGATAGGGCTTTGCATCAATACTAACACAAGGAACTATTAAAAAATGGTAATGTTCCAAATAAAATTAATTTATTCCATGTTTAAACACTCTTTATAGTGACACAATTCTAATCAAACAGGCAGAAATGGAAAATACTTCACACAAAGCTCACAGCACCCTTCTTGTCACCTTGCTCAACAGTGGAGGGAGCAGGTTCACTAGGTGAACCTAGTGCACTAGGTGAGAAACTGGCTGAAGGGTCCTGGCAAACAGGGCTACGTCTGGCTGGTGACTGGTCACCTGTGCTGCTCCTCTGGGTTCCTCTGTTCTGTTCAGTACATTTATCAATGGTCTGGATGCAGCAGTTTAATGCATCATTAGCAAGTTTGCTGATTATACAAAACAGAGAGATTGTGTTGGCTCTCCAGGGATGAGAGGCCTTTGCATTGGGGAATCATCAGGAACATGAAATTTAACAAGAACAAATGCCTGATCCTGCACCTAGGAGTAGTACCAGGCACAAACTGGAGAGCAGCCCTGCGGAGAGCTGAGTATGCTGGTCAGCAACAGCCTTTTCCTATGGAATTCCAAAGCAAAATTTTTGGCACTTTCAATGAAAGCATAAAACTGGGTAAAACTACTATGACAGTCAGTCAAGAATTAAATGTAATATGGTTTAGTGTAGTACCTGCAAGGTGGGATCCGCTGATTTGTATGGGGGTCACATTTTGGTACTAAGATTGTACAGGCAAAAAACATCAGGTACTTGTAGCAGTTGGTCTGAACCAAAGCTGGGAAAAGGGAAGACTCCCAGCTGATAGAGGCTTCCTTCTGTGTCCTGTGGCCCAGGTAGTTTGGGTAATAAGTATAGTTGTAAGGCAAGTTCATACAAAGTTCCAGAGTAATTGGTTCACACAGACCTTTCACAAAGAGAAAACAAACAGAACCACAAATGGTGTGAGATTAAATTAAATACAGAAGAAATAATTCCATATTTATTTAACAAATTCATCCTCTCAGGCTTGAGAAACCACGAGTTCCAGTTCTCTCCAGAGCTAGAGATCCCTTATAAGCCTATTCATAGCAGTAAAGATGGGTTTGAATTCTGCCGACCTCATAACCCATTAAGAGACTTTTATTCCCTTATTAGTATTCATTAACTTTCTGAGCAACATCTTAACTTTAAGGTGGTACCATCCTTAAACCAGTACAGTGTGTACTGTACAGTAGCACACTTCCCACTGGTGTACCTACTATACTACCATGACACACTGCACACTGATAGGGCACCTGCCAAAATTAAGAAGACAGAAATCATCAGATACTTTGGGTTGGAAAGGATCTCAGGAGGTCTCTACTCCAATGTGCTGATCAAAGCAGCTCTGAGGACTGATCAGCCTTCTCAGCTTGTAAAAAATCTCTGGCAACAGAGACTGCACAATTTCTCTCTTTAGAAAACAGAAGCCATGATTTGCTTTTAATTTTTTTTCCTTGCTTACAAAGATCTAAAGGAAGAATAGGTTATGCATTGCACAAGCATCAAGCAAGAGACATTACATGCTAATGAAATAATTTGGGTAAGACGTAACTAATAACAGATGAGAATGATAAGCAAAGACAAAACAGATGCAACAGCTACAAGTCCATAAGATTATATATATTTTAGCTACATACAAAAATCTTCCAACTCTTGGGAGCTTATCACAACAAATTTTGAGCTAGCCAAGTATTTTGGATTTTTAAAAATCATATAGCTTTTTTATTTCTCCTGACGTTGGTATTCAGAAATATTTATTTTTCTATTTTCCACCATAACAGAAAACTACAGACAGAATTTCACTTCAATTCAGACCGAAATCCAACTTTTTTACTTAGCAATGAGATGATTTTGAAATTATTTAAACTCATTTACTCTGGATTTATTGAGAAAGTTTTCCACAAAAGAGTTCACTATTCAAAAATTAGAAAATACATATAATTGCTTATTCTGGGAGCAAAGATAACTTAGTATTATTAATATTCTCTGCTAGGCCATTGCCAGCATCAGTTGCTAGAGCAGTGTGACATATGTCATCCCATAGCTGTATCTCTGGGAGAAGTTAGAAGAAGATCCAGCAGTCAATTATTCAGTTAACCAGTAGAACCTGGCACTCTTTCTTGGTCTGGCATTTAGTGTTACAACTTTTTTTACTATTTACCCCAATCTGATGACCACGAAGCTCATTTTACATGCAGCTTTTCCTTGCTGCTAAATCCAGGCATACTACCAACACTGAACTATTTCTGCTGTCTCAAACTACGCAGTAACATCTTTTGTGTATAAGAGTTTCAATGACTTTAACAATTCTCCTCACATTACTGCCATTTCCTTTCCTTCATGATGAACAATCCCTTGTCCTTCCACAATATTGCCTAAGTTGCCCAGATCAGTTTGGGATCATCTTTTGATTTTGGCCAGTAAATATCTTTCTTTAATGTGTACAGAACTTTACATGTTCATCAATATTTCAGGATGAACACAAAAGTACATGCAACAGTCTAAGTGTTTGTATAACATAACATTATTCAAGATTAAAGGGTTGAAATGCCCATATACCATTCTCTTTTATTATGCCTCATATTTATAGGGGTTTAAGTGAGTTTTGGAAGAAAATCTAGTCCACTCAAATGCCACTGGAGGATAGATCTTTATATCTTTTCAATATGATTATAATTTTCACACTGTGTTTAGAAAGCTTCTATTACATTATGCGCAAAAGTGTCACTGTAGGTTTGACAATCATAAAAAGGACTCTTACACATAATTCCCAGAGAAAATCCAGAGAGTAATAAGCAGAAAACATGCTCCAGGGAAACATCTGACTCATTTTAAGTAACCCACATGTTAGTCTTTCCTTCTGAGTCTGTCCTACAATTTAAGAGTTCTGCTACTCCCTTATTTATAGTACGTCTGAGTACTAATGAGTGGGGAACAAGGAATAAAATTCATTGCATCTTTTATACTGAATTAAAAAAAGAAAAAACCAAAACAAACAAAATAAAAATAAAAACACAAAACAAAAAACCCAACCAAAAAAAAAACCAAAAAACAAAACAACAACCAAACAAAAAAAAAATCCAAGCCAACAAAAAAAACCCTACAAACCAAGAAATTACCACATAGACTATGCCTGGATTTAATATCTTCCCGTGTTTATTATTAACTTGCTCTATCCATTAGAGTCTCTACAGCCACTCTGGGCAATATGTGTCCAGTCAAACTTGCAGTGAAAAAAAATGCTTGTTCTCAGAGCTTCATTATGCTCCTGTGTTTCATTTTGTGCCAATTGCCTCTGATCCTGTCACTGAGCCTTGTCTTCTTTACACTCTCCCTTCAGATACCCATTCTGTTATCTGAAATACATTGTAAATACATTATAATGCCAGCCTAAACTGATCTGATATTACCACATTTGGAAAACATCCATCATATTCAATATTGGGAAATGTGGCCTATGTTTTGGAATTTTTCAACCAGATAGTAATCTGAGTCAAGAAGAACTGCTTTGCCAAAACTGAAATTTTTCATGAGAATTCTCGTGTCTTACCAAAGACAAAATGACTGATCAAAATACAGAGAACAAAAACAAAATGAAAGGAAGACAATAGTACTTCCAGATGTTATGCAAGAAAAATCTGTCCCAAACTGTCTCATTGTTCCATTGTGCATAAACAATTAAATACTCACTGGACTAGAAAAGGACAAAGTGAGATGATCCAGAAGACTAGTTCAGACCACGTGTTACTCCTGCTAAGAACTACACAACTACTAGCTGCCCATAATATGTTGAGTAAACATCTTCACTAAAAAGTTCTTGGGTTTCTCATAATACGGCATAGGAACATTGTTTTACAATTAAAATATTACATGTCAAAAATCAGAGTGGTTTGGGTTGGAAGGAGCCTTAAAGACATCTTTCATGTGAGATCCTATTGCTCTTAGCAGTTAATGGGAAGGTGTAAATCTGATGGAACCAGACCCTTTGAAGTGTGCAGGGATAGGATGAGAGGCAAAAGACATGAGAGAAACCCAATTATTTATATGGAAACTAGGTTTTCAGAAAGGAAGTGCTCTAACAGTAAAACAGATCTCTCAGAAATATTGTGGAATCTATGTCCTTAAGGACAAGATCATGGGCAATATAACTTAATTGGCACTGATCTGATCAGGAGTTTGGGCTTGTTGACCAAAGGTGTTACTTAGTTTCCTTCTAATGCTATATATGGTATGTAAGATTACTCCTTTACAAAACCTTAGGGTAAGCATTGATAGAAGCACATGTAAAGCATTTATTCTTTATGAAGTATATTACAGCTTTAGTTTAGCAGCATCTAAAGGCCCCAGCATTAGCAGTGTCTGTCTCAAACACTTGAAGGTTACAGTCACAACTCTAGAAAGAATATGGAGTTTGGACTAGTTGACCTTCCCATGTCCATTCTATTTTAAATGGAATTACATTATCCACACAAGCTACCATATAGTATCAAAGCATTGATACCTTGCAGAGATAACTGCAGCACAAAGCAATTACACATGAATTGTGTAAAAAATAATCTGTAAGTGAAGCCAAGTCTGTCCATCCATCAAGGTGACCTGAACTGATGTGACTGTATTAACACAACACTAAGTTTCAATTAATTTGGAGTAATTTTTAATACAGTTCTGCCCCACTTTTAAAACATAGAGAAATATATTCCTCTTGATTACCTGTTCATGTTGTGGCATTGCACAGTTGAGAAAAACAGCTACTCAGAATCAAGTGCACAATTAGTACAGGAACCTTGCATGAAGTGGTACACACAGATATGAGGAAACACAGAGCTGAAGACCCTGATCCTCTACAATATGTATTAGTTAGAAGTATAATTAGTTTTTCCAGTTTCAATACCAAAATTGTCCCTTCATAAAGACCTAAAAGTTCTCTAGACTACTAAATACAGAAACATGGGATTTTTTATATTTTGAAAATAAATCAGTATCTTCTCCTTTACATGTACACTGTGCTGTTTACTTCACACAGACACTGAATGTCATTAAATGCTAAGAGAAAGTGCAACGGTAAACACCCATGCAGAAAGTATAAAAGTTCACAGAAAATTAAAATACCTCAATGTCAAATGTAATAAATCCTATCAATAATCAAGAGCTTTGAAGACACATTTGTTTCAACATTGCCCTTTTCAAAGCTAAATCATTAGACATGTTCATTAGCTAGAAAATTAAAGTATTACTTACTGTATTCTACCCTGCATCCTCATTATAATCTAAAACACCCTAAAAGAGTAACAGTATGAAGCATGTGACCTACTTACTGCAGTTTGCCTGGCTGTTTCTTATCTCACAGGGAGAAGCTCCACAGGGATCAGGGCAGAAAGAGCATCTCTGGTCTCCGTCCTGACAGAGGGTTTGATCTGAGGGAAATAGAAATGTACTTTTCAAATTATTTACCAGATGAATAAAAATGACTGGAGTGTAATGAGAAAGTACAGTGTTTACATAAAAATTAAGTATTTCTTTTTACACAGTTCAGGAATATAAACACAGTAATTGTAAACTCCAATAGCACTTCAAGTGCATTAAGGAAGAAAAGTGTGCAACAACTGTCCAGTTCTTACTCTTCTTACCCCTCTGTTCAATATAAAAAATTATATCCCAGTTTCTGTATGAGAGGCATGGATCTCTGAAAGATATTTACCATGCAGAATATGAAAAGTCATGCAAATTGCATTTCAAAAAGAACAACAGGTCCTAGATGAAAGAGAACACTGTCTGGGAATTATTATTCAATGCCATTCAGTTGATCGGCTTTTCATTTTATGGTTGTTTTGGTTGACAATAAAAGACATCCTGAAGAAAGGTCAGAGATGAAGCATAATCATTCTCCTTTGACTGGTTAACAAACAACAGCAACAAAAAGAAATCCAAAAATGCTATGGTCCTAATGATGGACTTCAGAATAAATAAAATCAGCACTTCATCAAAAGTTTCTGAAGTACTTTGGTAGTTACTTTATATGAGAAATCCCTGGACTTCTCCTTCTCACAGTTGTGATAGCTCCTTTCCAAACCATTACATTCTCTCTTCTATGTGCAAAATCAGTCATTTTAGTTTACTAATTTGTAAGAAGAGACTAAATAGATGATGTTTATCATTTTATCCTATTTAAAATAGCTTATTGTGCTGATTGCTTAGAGTTTGTATTGCACTACTGCCCAGGAATATCATTCATGCCTCCATTGGACATACAGAAGGTACTAAAGAAAGATCCAGTTTCAATAGCCTTGACAACAATCTTGTCTAAAGGAACTGAAGATCAAGTCATATCTATCATAAATATGTGGATTTACTTCCATTCATACGTGATATATATTGAAGCAATAGAAGTAATTTCTTTGCTATAGCAATTGGCCATCTATTTTACAGCTGCATCTGTTTGCAAAATGGAATTTGAAAGGCAGGAAAAACCTTTTGACTTCTAAAGCTATCCCAAATATTTACATAAAAATTATTTTTGAAGTTTGCTCCAACTCCTTCCTATCCTTTAAAAATCCCTGTCCTACAATGTAGATTCTTTTGATCCTAATGCAAATAATGCTGAATTTCTATAAATACACTGTACAGTGTTCTTTTGAAGAGGTCACAGGACCAGTCGTGAGTTCATCTATATTAGATTTCTATTGCAGCAAAATGAATGAGAGTAGTACTCACAGATAGATGCCATACCTTAAATTTTCTTAAGGTATGTAGTGAAGAAGACCACTTTTCTCGTCCAAATAGAGATGAAGCAATGGTCATTTGCAACCCTGAAGGTACTAGGACACAAGATCCCTGCATTCTTTTATAGGCAAGAGGAAGTCACTATACCTTGACCTCAAATTTCTATGCTGATTTCACATATTTATTGTGTTTGTAACAAAACCAGTACTCCAGACTGCATTAGCCATAACTTCACTGACTCTGACAGACATACCCAAATTTTTTTATTTGATTTGTAAAGCAGAAAAGTCTTTGAAATAAGTAAATGTCCTACTACATTTTTGCAGTTGCTGGAAATAAGAAAATATATATGAAATACGATAGTAAGTTACAAACAAGAATTCTGCCTTGTTTTACATGGACTTTGCAAAGAACTAAAAATGAATGAAATCTAAATTCTGCCAACATATTCCCATGCAAATTAGGATGGATGGGATATGGTTGCCTAAAGAAAGAATTTTGCTCTATGCAATACTGCAAAATATTGCAAAATACTGGATAGAACTTTTTCATATGGAAGAATTAATAATAAAAATTAGGAATTTTTTTCATTTAAAAGTTCTACAGTTTAATGCCAAGCAGAAAGATCTTTTATCATCTAGTGATATCACTGAATACATAATTATCACCGCATACCAGTGCTTGAATATTAATACCTATACCTATTCATCATACCAAAAAAAGATTTTTAACCATTGCTTCAACATCAAAAGGGAAAAAAGAGGCAGTGATAAAATACATCACTGATTTCTAGCCCACATCATGCAAGAGAAATGGACGATAAAAGAATTCATAGAGTAAGACTGAGACTGAACATCAAGAAAGAAGAATAAAAGGTGAACACTTTGTGAAAGTGCAGTGTCAAAACAGAGGAGAAAAACTTTTTGCTTGTAGATTGCCACAGTCAGAACTAGAAAATATTTCATGCAACACCTTTTTAAAATGTCAACATTAAAAGTGAGGAAAAATAATGATAATTTCTATGTTTCCGCTTCTCAGGTATTTTTTGGAATGAAGGTATTTAAATTGGAGTAGGAAGATCCCAAGAATTTTCTATGAAAAGAAGGGACTGAGTAACATTCTTACGAAAGGATTTCTTTTAGACTGGTTTCCTAAAGATATGAGGCTTATAAAATTATTGTGTGTATCTATTATTTATTTTAACAGGTCTTATCTACTCTAGTAACTATTGAATAGCCTGTCCTATTACCACTACATTTGCCATCACTAGCATTCTGCATAAGGTTGACCATTTTAATTTATTTTAAAAAAGATACATTAAAAGAAGACATTCATAATTGCTGCATTGAAGGAAAGGCTGCAATCTGAACCTATACCTTACCAGAAATAAGATAATTATATGTGAAAAATACCTTCCTCTTCTCTCATAGAGTATATAAGACAGCTATCAAGTAGCTGCAAAACCTTATGTTCCCATATATTTTCCCTTAGTAACACTAAATCATTAGTTTACTTATGAAAACATTCTTTCTCTGATTCCCAAGTTCTGATTAAAAAAAGGATTTTAATGAGAAAATTTCTCCTCAAATGACACCAATTCCTGTGATAGTAGATTCTCATTGCTCCAAACAATGTATTTCAAATAACAGCTGATGACATCAGATAACTAAATATTGTGCTAAATATCACCCTCACTTAATCTTTTTTAATGTTTTTAAGTATTAAAAGAAGTCTGCTTACAAATGTCTGTGTAAAGCACACACCAACCAGCCTTAGCAAGTGTTATTTAAAAGGTAAAGAAAGTAATTTGTCAGACAGATTTAGCTAAAGGCACTGTAGAACATAGCAGTCAATGGTAGGTTTAGTAAGAAGAGTAAAATGAGGCATATCCTTACTGTCACTGCAGTTTTCTTCATCACTTCCATCTTTACAATCATTATCTCCGTCACATTGGAATGCACTAGGAATGCACTGCCCATTTCTGCACTCCACCAGACCCTGACTGTGACATGCTAGAGAGAAAAAAAATATTAAAAAGACAATATTCTGATCAATGTAGCTTAGTGAAGATCTGCATTATATTTGAACATCATACTTGAAGTTATTTTGAGAGGAGCTGGTAACACTGCTTAGAGATCACAAGGCATTTTCCATTATGTGTCAGCTAATTTTCCAGTAGCTACAGCTGCACTGATCTTTAACTACAGAGGCTGAAACTATAAATGTTAGGTATTATCAACAGGCTGAGCTGAAGTTTTAGCTTCCCCAAGGGAAAAAAATGCACATAATTTTTATTCATATAGTGGGTAACAAAAAGCTAATTCTGTAATTAACAAGAAGCTCTAACACAAAGCAAGGCTTTACTTCTCAACAAAGGCAACGAATATTTAATTTGCTGCTGCTGTCTACTGAAAATAGGCATTTGTCAAGCATGAACTTCTGAGATAAAATAAGTTTACAGTTTTGCCTTCCAAGTGAGTACACTAGTACACTAGTTATCTTACTTTTTTTTTTTAAGTTTTCAAAGAAAGAAAAAATAATTTAGATATGAAGGGAACTTACAGCAATTGATCTCATCTGATTTGTCTATACAGTCATGGTCACCATCACATACCCAATCAGCTGTTATACATCTCCCCTCTCCACACTGGTGATGTGTCACTGGATTACAATCTACATCAAATGCAAATTTGAAGAAAAAAAGGGATGCTAAGTTACCATTTGTATACTTTATATTACTGATAAATTATTCTAGGTTTATTAGCTAATCTCCTTATTAATGAGCCATTTTGCATTAACAAATTATATTAAGAAAATTTTGTATCTGCAGATGTTTTTGCAGATGGTAGTTACATATAATCTTAATTGTATTGCTTGTATAGTGACGCAGTAATTTCTTCTCTCAGCTTTATTTACAAATAGCTGTGACTATTTGTAAATAAACAAGAATCTAAGATTTGTTAAGCACATTAGAAGATCTGGCTTACCACCTCAGGAAATGATTTTCAGTTAACCAACATTTTCGGTAACCATCAGAGAAAATAATTTCCTTCATTTATCTTTATATTAAGACATTTTAAAAAATGTTTCTCAACTTCAGAAACTATATTTTTGCATGCACTTGGAATTTTTCATAAGAATTATCTACAAAGAAATTATTCCAAGCATCATCTTACTCTTTCTGTCTGAATGCACAAAGTAGAGCATTCTGTTGAGCAGACTGACTTTACACCAAAATAAATAGAGAGAACAGACACAGTCCAGTCCTCCAAATCTGCCATGAAAACCAATTATAGCATGTAAAAAACTTAGATTTTAAAAATTGCATTGAAAAAAACTTACGTCAAGTTAGGAAAGATAGGACAGAGATTAACATTTAGAAAAATTTGAATCATCTTTAAACTAAGATTATTTATGAAAAACCCCACTAAATGACCAAAACTGACAAGAAAATATTGAAAGATCTTAGAATGTGCTCAATTTGGAGAAGAAATATTAAAAAAATCTCAGAAAAAAATGTCCCTTGATTTTCAGATTTTATATTCTTTGTGTTGGTCCTTAGAAAAGCAAAAGATAAAAAGGGAGAAATAATTTTTAGCTGTTAAAGAACTATATTAGAAAACTTCATTTTTCCTAGGTGTAGTAACAGGACCAAAAGTTAGTAAAAATAAAGCTTTCTAAGTTTTCCAGTATTTACATGTTAAGATTATTCTTTTTTAACGGCGAAACTTCACTGTTTCTCCTATGGAAGTTAAGCAGGTAGATACATATAGTAGGTAGGTAAGTATCATGAGTCAGAACATGCAAAGTTGATTGCCAAGAGAATTTGAAAGAAACAGAATTTGATAATCAAAACATATGACTTCACTATGAATCTTACATTAAAAGAATTCAGCTATAAAACAGTTCGTACCACCAGTGTGTACCCTCATATAATTTACTTTACTCAGTTAAATCCAGCCAAGCTAGCAAGGAAGCACCTTTAGGAATTAGTTTAAAACAAATTGAAAATTGTAGTACTTCTTATAAATACCAAACCCTTCAAGATTTGGATTGACTCAAACTCTCCTTTAAACCTTTTCAAATTGCATATAGAATCTGTGAGCTGTTTTCACTTTGTTCAAATACAGTAAGAGCAGGGTGTATTACTCTTTCAGTAGTTTAAGAAAGAAGGTTACTGGCTTAGGCAATCCTGATTTCTTAAAGACTTTAGAAAAGCACATAATTTTTAATTTACCACAATTTTGTTCATCACTAAGGTCTCCACAGTCATCATATCCATCACAAACAAAGGTATAATTGAGGCATTTTCCCGTGTTGCAACGAAATACATCATTACTGCAGTCTACAAAACAAAGCATGTAAAATGTTAAAGTTGCATTGGAACATTCACATAAACTATGAACACTGGAATGTGCTGACTACACACAACATTAGCTAAAGATACCTTACAACTTACAGGTCTGCATTAATACCAGTGTGTATCAGTTTATGAGAAACAAATCTGGAAGTATATGAAAAATCAAAAGCCATTTTTAGAAATTTTTACTCTCTCCCTACCAGCTGTTTTTTGATCAATACCATAAGGACAGAGTGCTCTGGTTGCACATAGGGATTAAATTATTGTTTCATTATTAAACAATTATTTAATTAAATTAATGCTTAATTCATTTATATGCATTAAGTTCGCAAGAAATATTGTAGGTTATCATTGTAGGTTACTAGGAAAACCCTGAGTACCAGATGTGGCTGTTAAGTGGAGATGAAGACTAACAGCAAAATCAAGATCCCCAGACCCTGCTTTTGAGCCTGCCTTTGATTCTATAATGGTTTCAAATGAGCTTTATGCTTAATACAGTTTGGAGCTCAGATTTGGCCCGGTGCCTTCTCATAAAGGAATTATTATTGTCAGCCCTAAGTGGGTTTAACCTTTTTTCATGACTGGATGCATCAGTAAAGCCTGCCAGATATTCTCTGAGAACAACTATAATACTTGAATAATATCAGGTTCAATAAAAACATGGAATCTTCATTGCAGTTAAGTGGGCTGAAGAGAAATTATCGTTTGTGGTATCTGGTCTCATCAGTAATAACTTTTGATTTCAAGCACACAGGTAGAATGTGGGTAATTCAGTTTCACTAGACTTCTAGACTATTCTTTGATCTCTAGTTTTTCAGAGAGAATGCTGAGATAAAGAACAGCTGGGTGGACAATCCCTCATTCCTGTTGAAGCTATGCCACTGAAACCAAGGAAGTCCTTTGTGCCCGTTTTTACTGGCATATGTGGGCATTTTAAATTAGTTCTTCCCCAGAAAACAGAGAGAGAGAGAGAGCTCAAAAAGCAGGGATTGGAACAAAAGTACCTCCTTTCTTCTGAGACGATCAACCACAAAACAACAGAATCATGCTACCACTTCCTTCTCTCCTCTTGGCAAGTGACTCCTGTGGTCATGATTGCAAGTGAAAACAGGGTGTCTTTCTAAGGATATTACACACTGAGAGGTGCAGAACTCTTCCAGAAGGTACAGTGGGATTTCTACCCCTTCAGATCAATGTCAACCAAGTGTTTCACCTCCTATGTGAAAAAAAACTCTGGAACTTGAAAATGAGTCACTTCCTCTCCTTCCCCCTCAGAAGTATTAATCCTTTCTTCAAGTTTCATATTATCTTAGAAAGTCCAAACAGAATTTACGAAGGAAATGCTTCAGGATATGAAGTAAAATAATATGACTGAGCCATGAGCTATATACTCAATAGTTAATTTAGCTTCAAAAAGAATCATTATTCATAAAACAGGGAATAACAAAAACCCCACACTAAATGAAAATGAATTTAAGCTCTTGCTTCCTGTAAGCAGACCAACACCCAGCTGAGAGTAAATTCTAAACATCGCTTGTTTTGAATATGCAACAGCATGAAGTACACTGGCAACCTTTCATTTTATTTATCAGTTTGTAACTCTGACAGTTTCTGTGCTTCTTCCACTGCTCCTCCTGCAAATGAAACAAAACTGCCTTTTTCTGTGTTATTTCCTCTGGATAAATTTACTGTTTAATTTCCATTCATACCCCCATTCCTCTTTCCATTCATACCTCTGAAGCTGCTGCAGTGTCCTTTAGACACTGATAGACAACCCAAAGGCCCACACAGACAGGGAAAACCAAAAGAATACAAACTTCCTTTCAGGGAAATAAGATTCACTTGATGAAAAACTAACAGCCTCAATATACATTTTCTTCAAGATATTTGCAATAATGTATTGTATAGGGTAGCTGGTTAATCTGTTATGTAAGATGGGCAGCTGCCACTTGTAAAAGGCTCAACTTAAATGCTATAAATGTTGGGAAATCCCCATTTTCATAAAATTAAATACAAATTCCTATTCTACACTCCACCAAAATACAAATGAAGCCTTGTGAATATTCTACATTAAACAACTTGACCCTGAGATAAGCTCAACTGTTTAAAGCATGGAGCTAATAAAGCCAAGGTGGCAGGTTTGATCCCTGTTATGGGTCCAGAAGGACCTGCTGCACATGGGTCTGTGCAAACCCCCACAACATCCAACTCTCTGAATTGGAGACAGATGGATTTCATGGGTGGACTGTTAGGTGGATAAGGAATTGGTGGATAAGGAATCACATCCCAAGGGTCAATAGCTCAGAATCCCAAAGTGACCAGTGCCCTCAGGGCTCTGTACTGGGACCAGCGTTATTTAACTCATTAATAACAGAGATGAAGGGATCAAGCACAGCCTCAGCAAAGTTGCTCCTTGTGAGATGGGGAGATGGTATGGATGTCAAGCTGAGTGGTGCGGTTGACACACCTGAAGGACAGGATGCCATACCGAGAGTCCTGGACAAGCTCAAGAAGTGGGTACATGGGACTCTTGTGGTCTAACAAAATCAAGTACAAGGTGCTGCACCTGGGTCAGGGCAAACCCTGGTATCAACTGAGGCTGGGGAATGAACTGATTGAAAGCAGCCCAGGAAAAACGGGGGTTGAACTGCTAGATGAACAGCTGGACATGACTCAGCATTGTGCATCTGCAGCACAGAAAACCAATTGTATTCTGGGCTGGAATAGAAGCAGCATGGCCAGATGGTTGAGGAAGGTGATTCTGACCCTCTGCTCTGCTCTTTGTGAAAGCCCACCCGGAGTGTTGCATCCAGCTCTAGGTCCACCAGCACAGGAAAGACATGGACCTGTTGGAAGAGGTCCAGATGAGGCTACAGAAATGATCATAGGGATGGAAGAGCCTCTGAAGAAAGACTGAGAGAACTGGGGTTGTTCCTCCTGAAGAGTGGCCTTTCAGCACTTTAGGAAAGCTTATAAGAAAGATGGGGATAGAGCTTTTAGCTGGGCCTATTGTTATGAGAAGTAATAGTTTTAAAAGAGGGTACTTTCAGACTAGATATAAAGAATAAATGTTTTACATTGAGGATGGTGAAACACTGGAACAGGTTACCCAGAGAAATGGTAGACACCCCATTCCTGGAAATACACAAGGTCAGGTTTGATGGGACTCTGAGCAACCTATTCTAAAATTTAATCATGTGACTTGAGACATTGAGAGGGGAAAGGACTGCAAGAAACACAGCATCTTTTATCAGAAAAGCTTTCAGACAAATAGGTCTTCTCTCAGTTTTGCTCTTTCTGCTATGTAATTCAGGAAAGTCTTATTTGACCTCCACACCCTCTCCTCAACTCCTGTCAAGCATCCTAATGAAAGACATCCTCTCATATAAACCCTGTGTCGTTAAACAGACAGGCATCCTTTCAAAGGGAATCTTAGCTCATGAAATTTATGCTTGTTTTTTCAAAACATGTAATATATTTATTCTTTTACTACTAATTTCTTCTTTTCCCATTTCTAACAGAACTTGAGAGCCACAGTCTCATAGGCATTTTTAAATTTTTAAGCTTACTTTAAATCTAAAGCTAATGCTGACAGGAAAATTGGAAAATAAAAATATACAATACTCTTCATATAATAGACATCATCTCAACCTCCACTGAATGAATTGTAGGCTATTAAAGGAAAAGTAAGCTCTAGTTTTATTCATATTGAGAACAGGAGGAAATTGCTGTCCTCCTTTATTGCTTGGAGTATCCCAGATAAAATCTAACAACAACTTCCTTAAAAGCAGCTTTGTGAGTCTTGGTATGCCCAGGCTCTTAAATCACTAATAAGAATCTTCTGAGTTGAGTGCAAATTGCACAGTCTGACATTTGTTGAAGTCTGAATGAGAAATTCTGTTTTGTGGCATCATGTCCTGCTATAGCCCTTATTTATTAATTTTTTCACATTTTCCTCTGTTCTTTTTCTTCTTGCCTTCTCATTGTTTTCTTACTGTACATTTTCTCTGCTTTTCTAAAGGTGTTTGTAGTCCAAGGTGTTTTGTTAACACAGAAAAACACATAGGAGCTCTAAAGATATGTACTTACCACAGACAAATATATTACAAATTAAGCAGTCATGTATGTACATTCTACTGCAGCACATACTAGAACTAATTTAAATAAATCGCATCCAGGTTGAGACCATGAGAACTTTCTAAACAGATGGTCTTGCATCTACTCCAAAATCAATGGCAAGGATCAGGATAATGCTACAACTGACAGTAGTCAGTTGATTATCAGAAGTGCTTCTTTCTGATGCACACTATTGATCCATTAAAAAAAAAAGAAAAAACACAAAAAACCAATACTACTTATTCACATATAGCTGCTTGCAGAATATCTGCCCCAAGGCATAAAATTTGATAGATCAAAAGCACATGCTTTGGCCTGAGTGACCAAAGCTAAACATAGTCCACAGCAATTGACAGAGTCTGAATGTCAATATATGCAAAGCTCCTGTTCTGTGCCAATAGCCTGCTTCAGTTTCCAGCTTCCCTGCATGGATTCAGTACTTCAGCAGAGCGAACATTTATGTTAAACAAAGGTTTAAGAAACTTACTACAATGGACCTCATCACTCCAATCATCACAGTCATTGTAGCCATTACACTGCAGTTTCCCTGGGATGCAGATCCCACTGGCACACAAAAAACTCTCCTCTCCTCCACACAGTGCTATAAGAGAGCAGAAAAGACAGAATGTAGAGAAAAACCATTAGCATCAACAATACAAAATTAGTTCTACTAGAGTCTTAGAAATGTTAAACTGATATTTAATACTTCCCACAGGGACTGAAATATATTTCCAATTTGGAAAACATTAGGAGAGCTCTCAGAGGAATGTCACTGAATGCAAGAAGGTCAAAAGGAAAACCTAAAAGAAAAAAACCTCAATTTTTGATATAGAACAAAGACATTTAAAAGTTCTACCAGTTAATGACCCATTTTAATAGACCACAACAGACAGTCATGAAAAGACTATTACACCTGTTAATTCTGCCCCTGGGATGAAGGAAGGAGCCTTATGTGCTCATGTGGAATATGTCTACAAAAATATAACAAATTCTGCTTAATATTGGCTTTACCGTATAGCCCTTTGGTATTCTTCACAGTTTGCCAAACTGACAGGTATACAGTGGATACTGTGAGGTATCACTTAGCACTGGACATGCTTTTCCAGTGTTTTTCAAAAATGACAAATAGTCCAGCTTGCACTGGCTGCACATTCAACTATTTATCTAAATTTTTAATTTTACTTCTGGTCCTAGAAGAGCAGTCTTTTCTATCACATTATGGCAATGTCTGTGCACACAAACACACACATTCTCAGAACTTTCATTATTAATTTTATATTTTGTCAGCAAGAGATTATTTTTTTTCAACATACTTACATTCTTTTCTAAGTCTCACTATTATTTTACCATCCTCAAGAAACAGGGCAAACTTAGACTTAGTTAACTGAAATACACACTCCTTATGGAAAATTTGTAATAAGAACTTAGGAATAATCTCAAAATCTTTTATATGACATTCCTGGGTGTACTGCCCACTTGGATAGAAAATCATTTTGATTTTGCAATACAAACATCATTTTCTAGTTGTGTAAAGATGACATGGTTATTGAAAGCTGCTTATGCAATGTATTTTAAAGGAGGTCTCTAACTTTATGGAAAGGTGCCCAAAATACTAAGAGATTTTAAACCAAAAGTCTTCAACTAGTTTGTGCCATTTAATGATTCTGACTCTTCATCAGAAACAAGGTAGTGCAAAACCACCAGAATCATCATTCTGCACACCCTTACAATGTGTTCTTCAGTAGGTTCCCTCCCATTTTGTGGCTGGACACATTTCCTAACCTCTAACTGAAGAGTTACGGCCTCACTTGTATTCTACCAGTTTTGGAAGGGTATTATGAACTGCAAAATACAATAGCCCTAAGACAAACATGAGGTTAGATAACATTCATGGTCTCATTTTATAGCAGGAAAAATGAGGCAATGAGATATTAAGGTGAAAGTTCTCAGAAGTAATGAATAATTACATCTAAGACACAAAAATCAGCATGTGATTTTTTTTGGAAAGTAAAGACTGATGTTATTTTACATGTTCAAAGAATAGCTCTTGTTGAATTTACTTGTAGCTGCAGATGTCTCAATTGCAAATAAACTCCAGCTATAGAAATGAAGAGCCCAGTTAGCTAGAAGTGTTCAAAGAACAGTAGAGAAAATTTTTATTCAAGTGCCTTGTTCAACGTTGTCACTGCAATAGTGACAGGGTAAAAATCTCATTTCATATGATAATATCACACTTCATCATAAGCCGATCTTTTTATTCCTCCAGTTCCCTGCCCTGTACAAAGCACTTCCTGATTTCTGCAGTCACTAAGCTCTACAGGGGCCTCTAGATACAACAGACTTCCCAGGTATGGAAGTACTAGTTCCCTGGACACCAGTGTTTATCCCACAGATAATGATGTCAGGTAAAAATACAGTATGATAGCATAATCAAGATTTTGTAATTCATCATACAAGAAAGGCTTTCAGAGGTTGGAAAGGCACCTTTAACTGATTGGTAATCTTACATTCTTGTAACTTGGCTTTTACACAATTTCCTTCATGTTTAAAAAGGAAAAGAGCATAAATAGCTCAAAAGAAACCATCTTGATTTGCTTTGATGGAGATCTCCATTAGTACAAAGATGGTACTAAGATAGCTGGAGTAATGGACTCCTATCTGTTAACAGCAGGAATATCTGATAACTTTTTGTACAGATCAGAAGAGAAAAGATTCCAGGAACCTAAATTCATATCTGGGCTGTGAACAAAAGTGTGTTGAAGCACTTAGAAGTCATCCTGCCTCTGCCTCTTTAATACATCTCTGTCTTGTTCTCCTGTTCCAAACTGCTTCTCCATTTCTGCACACCCAAAGTGAGCATTTTCCTGATTATCTTGTATGTTATACAAAAGCAAGAGGAAGACTGAAATTAGTTTTCTTTATCTCAGTTTTAGCATCCAGCAGCAATCAGAAGGAATCCTTAGAAATTTTAATCTCACCTCTTGCAATCTTCTAATAGGTAATGACTGGGTATGTTTGGCCCAGTCAGTGCAGTGTTCAGGGCAAGGAGAGCACAGACACTGTGAACAGTACCTCCAATGAATGTAATTTACCAAGCTTGTGCAAGAAGTTTTCCATAGGCTGACCATTCCATCATACCTCCAAAAATCAGATTTCAATGGAAATTATAAAAACCTTCTCTAATGCTGTAAAACAAACACCTCTGTTGAACATTAAATTTTAGTGTTTGATCTGGAACCCAGTGGATTTAGATATGCAACCATTTGCATAACCTTACTGAACACAGGCTGCATACTCAGAAACAATGTGAGTGTTCAAAATAAAGCAGAAGCAGAAATAATGCCTGAAATATATGTCTGAAATAGGAAAAAATACAGACCATTCCCCTCAAAAATTATTAAAAATGGCAAAAATGTTATTCTAAAGAAAAATGCTGGGCAATATTAATTACTGATACCTCTGTAAATAATTTACACATTTATTAAAAAGTCATGCAAATATACACACACCCAAATTCCTGAAGAATTCAAAATGTTATGTCAAATGAGCCCAAATAAAATGGAAGCAATCCTTGCTAATAGAGAAACTTGCTTGTTTTCGTCCTTACCCAGAAAGGTTTACAATCTGGAATTGCTTCCAAAATCCTAGACTAAACACCAGTGGCAGAAAAAAATGTTTTATTTTACCTGTGTTTGGTATACTATCAAAAGTGACTTTGAGGAGGCAAGACCAGTTATGTGCTGTACTTTCCAGCCAGATTACTGGAATGTCATCTATAGAAGATTATGTGGAAAGGTCCCTGAAAGCTGCAGAGAGCACAGACTGAAACAAACACTATTTTACCATCCTCAAGACTGACATCTGGTTGCATTTCAAGGTATAGCAACAGATAAAGCATTCTACATCTGTGAAAATGACCATGGAAAGTGCTGCCAATTTTTTTAAAAAAAGCAAAGAGGAGACCACATTTACTATTTAATGCTATGGAAGAAGTAACAGGTATTAAAACAACCAAAAGGAAGTGCTCTTCATGCAATACATTGACAAGCTGTAACATTTTAGAACACGATACTAAAATCATACATAGACTCATGTAACAAAGGGTAATTCTATTTTATTAATAGAATAAAAATCTATGGCAGGTCACAAACTACAGAAAAATTATTGAATCTGAAGCAGATGGAAAACGCAGGAGTATTTGGAAAAGTACTGCCACATAGTCTTGGCCTGTTCTCCTTTTCTGGGCATTTGATTTTGTCAGCTTTTGGATTCAGTATTGTAAGACAGACAGACTTTTTCTCCTACCCAATATAGTTATAGTAGCACAATGGAACACAGAGGAATCCCTGTATTCTCTCACTTTCAGATTTTCATCACCTGCTCCCTATACCATGTATGTAGCCTGCAGTACAATGTATGTATCTTGTTGCTGTCAATTCTAGAAAGTTTTGATACTATGGTCACAATCATAGAATTAGAAAAGCTGGCAACTCCTTACCCCTGTGAAATTGTTCATTTCTCTATTTCCTTAGGATGCAAAATCCTGTGGGAGAAAAAAAGACAAAAGACCTTTTTCTTTCACTCAAGTGATGTGGCCTAAAAAGGCCACAAAAGAAACTCCAAGTTGGAAAAGAAACAGGCAAAAATCAGGAACACAGAATAGGAGAATAAAAGCCACAGAACACAAGAAACTATAAAGCAGGATCTATAGAATTAAAGATTTGGTGGGGGAGATAGTTTAATCAGCCATGCGTGGTTCTTCACATGAAACATCACAACAATCCTGAAAAACATTTTGTTTTCCTCAAAAAATTATTCCACTATTGCTGTTTTCACAGCTGTTCAGCATCAATGTCATACATACACAAACCATCTCTCTCTCCTTTTCACTGCATCAAGCAAATGCAAGGACATGAAAGAAAGATAATGTCTTCCTGATTTTAAAAGCTTTCTCTCAGAAAAATTATCTATTGGATGTATATAATTGCATTGCCTATAGAAAAGTAAATACCTGTTGCAATCAGATATTTGAATTCTCTACTCAAAGTTGTTCCTCAAAGCCAATTCTCTTAATTAGTACCATTTTGAATGAAGCTAGGGGTGACCTAATTGCAACCTTCCAATACTCGAGCCTACAAGAAAGATGGAGAAGAACATTTTACAGGAGCATGTAGTGATAGGACAAGGGGAATGGCTTCAAGCTGAAAGAGGGTAGATTTAGATTAGATATTAGGAAGAAAATCTTTACATTGAGGGTGGTGAGGCACTGGAACAGATGGCCCAGAGAAGCTGTGGATGCCTCATCCCTGGAAGTGTTCAAGGTCAGGGTGGATGGGGCTGTGAGCAGCCTGGTCTAGTGGAAGGTGTGCCTGACCATGGCAGATGGGCTGGAATAAGATGATCTTTAAGGTCCCTTCCAACCACAAATCTCATGGCAATGAAGTGCAGTTCAGGCCACTTTTGCACTACTTTTTTAACAGAAAAAGACATTTATTCGTAATGCCTCTTTAGGAAAAAAAAAAACCAAAAGTGAACAATGTCTCATGATTCTATGCTGTTATTTACATAGTTTTGTTGTATAAACAGTAGAAGTATCATATTCACTGCTGCTTTTGAAAACATTTAACAATTCAAATTAAGAGAAAAATAACTTGAGGGCTCTTCTGAGAGCTCCATGTTAATCTAAATCAGATTACTGTGTTGCTTTACTTCTTATTCAAGCTTCTGGGCATTTCTTCTGCCATGGGTTTAACAGCAGCCATTATGTTGGCTAGTCAAAGCAAATAAAACAGCATAATAAGCATTGCCAGTTGAGAGAGAGATAAAAGAAGAGCTGAAATTTTTCTGTGAGCAGGGATATGAATAACAGTCCTCAGGAAGGTTTCTGTGATTCCTTCCCCCTAGAATGCATTACTGGTTACATGTGGAGTGGATGACAGATAATGCCTCCTGCTCACTCCCTTACATGCTCATAGCTCATTGGACCTGTGACGCCAGTTCAACCACTTATCTTAAATCTCAAAACATAAATTCATACAATTATTATTAGGGTAGCTGATTTTCTCATCTACTGAGTATTCACTTGTCATTTGTCTAAACAGACATCAGTCTGAAGGACATCGGCCTTCAGACCTGCAATGTTTTCTCTGTGATTCAGAGAATGACTGAATGACTCAGTCATTTAACATTCAGATGTTTTAACTATAATGGCATGGCTTGTATTTTCCAGAACAATCATTACATCTGTGTTCACATCAGGAATGTATTTCATAATTGTGGAACTGTACACTCAATTTCCAATGCTTGTGGAGCTAACTTTTAGACAAAGAGATAAATCTTAGCTATGACACATTAGTGTATGTGGATGTGGATACAATATGTATCCACTAGACAATCCCTATTCTAACCAATAAAGATCTTTTAGGAAAACTGTTAATTGTGCCCAAGATAAATGTTCAGGATTCTAACTAGAACGTGACTCAAGCATATTTTCTCAACAGGGCTTGGAAATATGACATTCGAGGATTTTTTGGTGGAGTGATAATCTTCAGTTCAGAAAATGTGGAAGATATGGAGCTTTTAGCCACAATCAGACAAAAATAAACAAGATAAATCAAGAGAAAGTTTTGTTTGGGATTGGGGGATTGGGTGATACAGTACAAGAATCTGTGGAACAAACAGGTATAGCAGTCAGACCTTAATTTTGATAAACACAGGATATAACTAAAGATATAACTAAAGATACAAAAGAAAATTACATGAAACAAAACATATTATATGTAACGCATATGTGGACAGGGAAGGATTCACTGCATGTAATCTGGAGGTACCAAATCACAAATGAAACCACAGAGTTGAGAAATAAGCAGTCATATGCCAAGAACATGCTCTTGAAATTTTCAACTGAACTGAACCCTGAGAAGTGTGAAAAGGAGTTTGTGCTGAGCACTAGATGAAAAGGGATTAGAGCAGAGAATCAGACTCAGCTCCTTGGTTCTACTGTGGTCAGAGAAGTATATACAATATATATTTAAAATATACAAACTGCAGAAATAAATATTCAAGAACAGCACATTTTATTTCTGTAGGAGAAGCAGCCTTATGAACCCAAACTCTTGCCTTTTTCAGTCAGAGAGGAATCACATTAGAACCATTCTTTTAAATAAAAATAAAAGTCAAAATATTCTCCACAGTCATAGAATCATAGAATTGTAGAAGAGCTTGGGTTGGAAGGCACCTTAAAGATCATCTTATTCCAATTCCCTTGGCATGGGCAAGGACATCTTCCACTAGACCAGGTTGCTCACAGCCCCATCCAACCTGGCCCTGAACACTTCCAGGCAGGGGGCATCCACAACTTCTCTGGGCCATCTGTTCCAGCGTCTCACCATCCTCACAGTAAAGATTTTCTTCCTAATATCTAATCTAAACCTACTCTCAGTTTGAAGACCTTCCCCTTCGTCCTCTCCCTACATGTTTTTGTAAATAGCTTGTCTCCATCTTTCTTGTAGGCTCCCTGCAGATCCTTGAAGACAGTTCAGTTATAGGCTCTCCTTAGACATGAAAACCATTCATGCCATTCATGTCCAAGTAGCATGCACAATGAAAAATTTAATTTTGTAAACCCCTTTTGTTTCATACACAACAAATACTAACAGGATGTCAGAACTGACAATAAGTAGAACAATAAGGGTCTCCATAGTCTGCCAGGTAGGAGCAGCAAAATCTCACAATTGGCTCTACATTTCTTCCCCTGGTGAGAAAAAGCAAGCTTCCACTGTGTACTTACCTGCAATTTCTGCAGTTCACTACAGATTAATACCAATTCTGCCATACAGATCATGGAATAATCAATAACCAGGCACTATTCTTTAAAGCTCCTTCTCTAGCAATACTAAATATATTATTTTAGCCACATGGAAGTTTCGTAAGTGACAAATCTCTTCTGGCTTAATCTAAGTTCAGCTTTGGTGGGGTTTTTGAACACTCTGACCAGCTATAACTTGTCAAAATTTAACAGGCATATTTATATTATACCTTATATTCAGTTTATGTACTACACAGGCATGAAATCCAGGTCTTCAATATTCTGTTGCTTTTTCAGAATTATACCTCATTCTATGGTCATGCTCAATTAATGATATGATAGTCACCCATTGCTCATGGCTAATTACTCTTCAATGTGTAAGCCTTTACCATACTTATGTATTTATTTATGCTACAGCTTCTTACCTTCATTGTTATTTGAATCTGCCATGAAGACAAAATTATGGTACTTCTTATTTCTAAAATGGTTATCCCTATGATACCAAAGGCAACAACAAACATACGGCTATTTTAGCTCACCCTGTGAGCTAAAAGGACACTTCTAGTCCCATTTTACATAGGGAATTTGAGTTACAGCAAAAGAATATGCATTTTATGATTACTTGCTTACTGTTTCCATTTGGAGAGATCCATTAGACCTAATTTTTTCAGGATAGATATCATACATTTTTGTAATACAATTAAGACACTGGTCCCAGCAGATTTCACAACAGCAACATGCACAAAATACCACAGGACTCTATCATAAAAATTTGTGGACAGTGTTAATTTAACTGGAAATCATTCAACTTTAACAAGACACAATCTTTTGGACCTTTCCCTACCTCAGCCAATACAAAAGTTCCCACAGATGAAGTTAGGTGGGGACAACAGCCTCCTTTATTTCATTACTCTTCAAAAATGTGCCGTTAGATCTGGACAGAATCCAACTGGTAAAAGACTTTGTCTAATAATTTTAGGCAATATCATTATGTATACTCAGGAATTGCAAGAAGGTAGCCCAGCATATATAAACTATTTTAATTGTACCATTAACTAACATTCAAAGAAATAACATATAACCTCCCTGATCTTTTAAGGTAGTTTTGAAAAATAAATTCTTGGGGTTTTTTTAATAAAAATTTGAAAAATAGTTTTCATCATACTATATTTTCCTGTTTATTGTCACACAGAAGTCATTAACAAAGTTAGAACCCACAGATAGACCGTACAAGCCTCAGTCTCTTCGTCTCACAGAATGCATATCAACAACAGAGTCTCAGATGCCAGCGAAGGAACTCCAGCAATGGGGTCAGTGAGAAAAAAGTCAGGCTTACTGCTTTCAAAGGTGTGATCTCACCTCTAGATTTGGATCTAGAGAACACAGCACCTTTGAGGAGATGGAAATTCCTTGGTTTTAGAGACTGGCTGGAAAGCTGCCCAGTGGAAAATGACCTGGGAATGCCAGTCAACAGCTGGTTGAACACGAGCCAGCTTATGCCCAGGTGGCCAAGAAAGTCAATGGCATCCTGGCCTGTCAACAATGGTGTGGCCAGCAGGACCAGGCAGTGACTGTCCCCTGCTGTACCTGACACTGGTGAAGCCACACCTGGAATTTTGTGTTTAGTTTGGGGCCCTCAATACAAGAAAGACATTGAGGTGCTGGAGCATGTCTAGAGAAGAGCAATGGAGCTGGAGAAGGGTCTACAGAGCACAAGCCTTATGAGGAATGGTGAGGGATCTGGGGCTATTTAGCCTGGAGAAAAAAAAAAGGCTCAGGGGAGACCTGATCAGTCTTTACAACTGCCAGAAAGAAGGCTGTATAAAGATGGCAGTGAGTCTCTTCCCCTGAGCAACAAGCAATATGACAGGAGGAAACAGCCTCAAGGAGCACCAGGAGAGGTTTAGATTGAATATGAGGAAAAATTTCTTCATGGGAAGGCTGGTCAGTCACTGGAATAGGCTTCCCAGGTAAGTGGTGTAGTCATCGTCCCTGAAGGTATCTAAAAGATGCATAGGCATGACACTTAGGGATATGGTTTAGTGGTGGATTTGGCAGTGCTGAGTTAACAGCTGGACTGGATAACCTTCAATATCTTTTTCAAGATAAAAAATGATTCTATGACTTGATGCATGCATGTATAAAGACCGTGGTTTTTGAGAAATTTACCTCTTGATCAGTTTTGGGCTCATTTTTACTGCAAAAAAAAAGGAGATACACTTGAAATTTGGCCTATGTATCAGGTTCCTACTCCAAATAACAAACCCATATTGACTAGAGCTAACAAACAAAAAGTCAACAGGTTGTATTAATTTCTCCAAAGTAATCTTCTTTCCTTGAAGCAGTTTAGAATTTTTGATGTAAAACAAAAAGGCCTCAAATCAACACAGAAATCAAATCTGAAAAAAATCAGCCTGAACAATTAAAGCACTGCAAACTATAATCAACTGACAACCAGACTTCAATCACAGTAATAAGATGGAACATAGAACAAGAAATAATACTTTCAACTCAAAGCTTTTTCTACGCAGAAAGAAAATACATTATTAAATGAAAACTCATAAATACAGCATAACAGTTAAGAATGGAAACATACACTGCTTTCCTTTTTCTTGGTGTGGTGAGAAGCATACCCTTGTAGTGGTGTCATTCTCAGTTTTGTTTTGGAATTGAGAGCACTTCAAGAAGTCTGGCCAAGAAGCATTTACCATACCCAGGACTGGTTCACAGCCTTCTTTTGCTGCCTCACAAAATGTCCTGCAGGGCAAGAGGCCTCGACTAAACAAAAGAGACAGAGAAAAAAATTAAAAATTATTATTACTTTAGTAGGTTGTGAACACTTTTTAGAAAGAGAAAAAAGTAATAAGCGTTATTGGCAAATTTTGTGTTTTACAGAGCTACACCCATACCCTTACATTGTTTAAATTTTCAACACTTTATGTCTACATTACTGCAGAGCCTTCTGCAAAATGAAAATGTGCCTTATTCATCACCACTCATAATGCCACAGACGATCTTTTTCCTGATACACTACATATGTCTTTCTCTATATGTCCGACCCTCAGTTTTACCTGCCCATCTCAAAACCATTGCTAGAATTCCATATTCAGTCACAAGTGGCCTGAACTGAAGAAGTCTACAGTACCCAAAAATACACCAACTTAGTGTTTCAGTATAACAGTATTATATTATACAGTATAGAGAGTAACACAGTACTTTTAGCAACTGTGTGACATGGCAGCAACCACAAGAAAGGAATAAAAAAGCCACCAGAGCTGACTGACTACAATGTTAATAAAGAGATTGGTGTAAAGCAAAATATTCACTTGCATAAGTTTTCTTAAGCTGGTATGGTTGACTTTCTCTGCTTAGTATCTAAAAAGACAAGTGTCCTGCCAGTGTTGTTACTGAGTTCATTACATACTCTGGTTGGAACCACTTTTTAAAAAAAGGTGTCTTTAGAGATACATTCTCCAGGTAATGCTAAGGACTTTTACACAATGCACTTCATATGCTGAAGTATTGAACTTATCTCAGAAATAAGTCAAGGAATTTATCTCTAAAATTTTCTCTTGCAACTTCCTGGATGGCAGATTATTTGCTGTCTGTAAAGAAACATATATATTCTAAATCAGTACTTTTCACCACCAAATTTTTTATTGCGATCTGTTGAAAGACAGAAAATTTTTGCACCAAAGATCACCTATATGGCTGTGTAAAAAAACAAGAATGGTTCCATATGATGAGAGAAGAGCTGCCACTTACTAGTTCTGCACATTGTGCTGGCAAACTAAGTTCATCAGACTAGTAAAGGGTCTTCAGATAAAGATGTCCTAGAACACTTTTCTTTTTTTTTTTACAGAACCTATTCTATATGGAGAGAAAGAAAGGGCATAAGAGCTCTTAAGCAGCCATCACTGCCTCCTGTCTGGAGCCTGAGAAACTCCTTAAATAAAGAGGATTTGAGAGGGCAAGTGATTGTCTCCAAACATTTTTTAGCTATTCCTTCTTAGCTAATATACTAATAACACTTCTGGTTTGACAGAAGCTCCCTAATACAGAAAATGCCAAAAGAAATGCTGCTACTTACTACAGAAGGCACTTGAGTTTCAAAATATCTGTAAGAAATAAGATGTCACAAAGCTAAAATGGAGTATTGATTTGACCTGTTGGTGAGTGATAACACTTTATTTTATTCAATCTGATAGGCTTAATTTAACTTTCTGATCATTTTTTACAAAACCACAAAATATGCTACAAAACTGCATTACAGTGAAAAGTATTGCAAGCAGTATTCTACCTCATTCACTGATGCAATGGAGCATACTCGATGATCACAAGTAGTAATTTTCAGACAATACATTCTGCTAAGTTTATTTTTTGCTCTCAAAAAAAAAGTGTTAGTAGGGACATTAATTGATTTTAACAAGCCTTTGACAGAGATCTACTTCAGTTTATCACAGTTAACCAATCTGTACACATGATTTCTACGAATGGGAATGCTATTTGAAAAAAATCCCTAACAAATAAAAAACAAAACATAAGGAGTTCTTGAGGGCTCTCAGACAAAGTTTCATACAAGTCTGGAGTATTTGATATGATCTCTGTTTTTCCTGACCCACATCTAAATCATTATCTTTCAAAGCACCACACTTCAGCTATAGCCTGACATTTAGCAATCAGCAATCAATATTATGTGTATGTGAATTTCTTAAAATGTAACTATAGCAAACTTCCATCTATAGGTTCCTTGTTTCCAGAGGTCGGTCAACATACTGAACATTCATTTCAATTGAAATTTTAAGAATAACATTAAAATTACATCAAAATATAACTATGCAGAGTTACACATAAGAATAATTGTTAAATCTTCTAAAAATGTCAGGAGCAATTTTTTTTCAGAAGATCTATCTGCACATTGAATTGTTTACATCTATATGAGAAAAAACCCACAAATGCAAGAAGTTCGCCTCATTTATTTAAATTAAGCAGTCCAGCATTTGAATATTACACTGCAAGGTGAATGTTTGGATATTGTATCTGATTTGCATGGCAAGGTTCTTGTAGTGGGAGAAATACAGGGGTGGCTCCTGTGAGAAGTTTCCAGAAGCTTCTCCTGTGTCTGACAGAGCAAACTCCAGTCACATGCAAGACAGACCCACCACTGGCCAAGACTGAGTCCATCAGTGATGGCAGTTGTACCTCTGCAATATTTAAGGAGGCAGGGAAAAAATCCCGTGCAAAGGCAACTGCCACCAAGAGACAGGAGTGAGAATATGGGAGAGAAGCAACTCTGTAAATACAAAGGTCAATGCAGCAGGAAGGCAGGAAGTGCTCCAGGCACTGGAGCAGAGATTCCCCTGCAGCCCATGGGGCAGCCCATGATGAGGCAGCTGTGCCCCTGCAGCCCATATAGGTCCTCAGTGGTGAAAATATTCACCTGCAACCCCTGCAGGACCTCACTCTGGAATAGGTGGATGCCCAAAGGAAGCTGTGACCCTGTGGGACCCCACATTGGAGCAGGTTTGCTGGCAGAACTTGTGACCCTGTGGTGAACCCACACTGGAACAGCCAGTTCCTGAAGGACTGTACACTGTGGGAGGGACCACACTGGAGCAGTTCATGAAGAACGATAGCCCATGGGAAGGACTCATGCTGGAGAAGTTCATGGAGGACTGTGTCCCATAAGAGGGACCCCATGCTGGAGCAGAGGAAGAGTGTGAGGAGTCCTTCTCCTGAGAAGGAAGGAGTGACAGTGACTGTGTGTGATGAATTGACTGCACCCCACACTTGCCATCTTCCTGCACCTCTAAGGGGACCAAAGTTCATGACCAAAGTTAAACACAGGAAAAGGAGAGGGATGTGAGGAAGCTTTTTTAAGATTTGGAGGTCCTTTTCTGATTACTCTGCTCCAATTTGATCAGCAGTGAATTAAATTACTTTCCCCATGTTGAATCCGTTTTGCCTATGACAGTAGTTGGTGAGTGATCTCTGTCCATATCTCAATCCGTGAGACTTGTTCTATTTTCTCTCCCATGTCCAGCCAAGCAGAATTTGTAGTCTCTAGAGAAGCTCTGACAAATCAGAAAACATGGGATTATCCAGCAATTACTGCAATATTTGGCCCAGTTTCAATGTTGAGTCATGTGCGCTCCATAAATTCAATATTTCTGGATAATTATCAAGTTTAGTATTGACTTATTGCTTAATCTGCTGAAGGATGAAAATATTATTAAAAGTCTTTATCTTGATTAGTCTTATTTACAGCTACTCAGAGACCAGTCATTTTAAAAATAAACTGGCAGGTGTATGGAAATCTTACCATAATTGATTTGCACCAGTGGCAGGCACGGAAGCAGGGTATAACATATTAGCGTGTGATTCAGCTCTTCAGGATATTAATAGAAAAACTCCTGAAACTGGAGTTTGATGAAAGAAAGAAAACATGACATATTTTTATCTCTGTGGTAGGTTTCTCCACACACAAAATGCACACTTCAGTAAATTCAGCTGCACAGAAATACCAACATTAAGACTGTATGGCACCAAAAGAAATAGAATCTTCTTTATCATTTATTGAAAAGCGCATTAAGGGTAGAGAGAATATATAAGGGTTTTAAATTTGCATAAGGCATCATTGAAGAAGCTATTTATCAGAAGTTTTATATTAAATATGCATTGAAGCAGGTATATTCAATACAGCATATACTCTTATGTGATTTTAAGTTTCCAAAGAGGTTAAACACTGCCTGAAAAAGATGATCTGACTTCCTTGTCATAACGATCACCTAGCATTCACTTAAATTTGAACTCAAATTGCCTGATTATAACCCTACAGGGACCTACTCCTTATACCACAGAGATATTTTACATTTTTAGACTAATTTTTTTCAGAATTTACTCCTTCTCTAATACTCACTTCTTTCCAATCACACTACCATGCACAGGGCTCCTTGGTAGACTCTGTTTCTTAAGTGGCTGTTTTGAGTATTAGAAGTTATCAAAGAAACATACTACAGGAAGCAGTAAGGAGAAGGAAGATCCTCATGGTGACTGTTTTTCTCTTGCTGTGGAAGTTACCACATTTTCTAAGGTTAGCTCAAGATTCAAGTTAGCTAAAGGCTCTGACTCCCAAGCTCAGCAGACGCTGATGGCATGTCTTTTCTGGAAGCAGCAGCCCTGTATGCAGCTTGGTTCCTGAATGCCTGGATCTGGTTCTGTGCTACTTTCAGTTTTGCTGTTTTTAAGAGCTGTTTTTAGGCTGTATAATAAGAGGGCAAATAACTGATTCAACTGAAGAGTAATGTGATCCAAAAAAAGTGCTTTTTTCTCATCTGGCAATTGATTGGGTCCTCCAAAAGGATACAGGCAAGGAAAGAATAAGATGTCAGAAGAGGGAGAAGTAGAAATTGTTAGAGCAAACAAAACCATTAAATTAAATAAAATAAACAATTAACCATCCTGCAGGAGCTCCCCTTGCAACCTGGTAAATACAATACTATATCTAGTGCTCATTATTATCTGTGGCATTTCTTTGTGTCTTCACAATAGTATCTCCATTGGTAAAAGCACTGCTCTAGACATGCCCTGTTGAAAAATTTATTATTGCCATTTTACCCGTTAAAACAAGAGGGTAAATGATTTGCAAAAGGCTTACAACCAAGCTGGTATGCCAGAGCTGAAAATACAGCACGAAGATCACTCTGAGAACACACCATTGTTGGCTGCATCTGCTAAAGGTCACATTTGTGGTTCAATAAACAACCTGACTGCAGGCA